TGGGGTTGCTCCGCGCTGGGCAGGGACGCCTGGCCACTCATGCTGCCGGGGACTGCCTGCCTTTGGTGAGACGGACAGCCTTCCCTGGGAGCCCTGGGCAGCAGGTGGCCGCCCCGGGGTCTTCCCCGCACCCCCGGCTGGGCCTTTCTAGGCCTGCTGTGTCCATCTGGGAGTCTGAAGACTTCACTCTCCTACCTCCTACTAGGAGGCCCCCCCCCCCAGCCCCCCACCAACCACCAAACTCCCAGAAGGTTAAAGAACCACCGCTAGGAATCTAGTTGTTTTGTTTTCTCATTTGAGGATGAACAAGCACAGTCACTGGCCTCTGATACAATGAGCCGCACACTTGGCCAGGCCATCGTCCTGCTGCAAATACGTTGCTGACCCTTTTCGTCTAGAAGAGAAGACCAGGCCTTTTCTTTCCCTTCGGGCTGCAAACCCTCCTGAACCTGCCTGGAACCAGCCCCACGAATCTGCCTCTCGCCTCCCAAACAAGCCCTCTACTTGCATGCCTCCTGGCCTTTGCACTTGCCGTTTTCCGTGCTTGAACTGCTCACCCTCGGGTGAACTCCTAAGTATCCTATGAAACCCAACTCAAAAGGCCCCTTCTCGGAACACAGTTGGGTGTCCTGGAAATGGCACGGGCCTTGGAGTCAGGAGACCTGGGTTCCAGTCTCGCCCCACCTGTGACCTGACTGACGGCGTCAGCTCTGAGGATTGCAGTTTCTTCACCCGTCTCTCCCGGTAGACCTGGAATTCCTGCACATCAGGTACCGCACTGCATCCATCCCTTGTCCTGCCCTTCCTCCCAGTGCGTGGAGCAGTTACTAGCCCGAGATAGCAATAAGTCAGCCACTCACTTCCTGGGTGCCCTTTGTCCTACTGCAGCCCTGGGAAAAGGCGGGGCACCCCAACTTTACTCATAGGAAATGCAGAGGTGGGGATTCCAGACCGATAAGCAGTGGACGCTTACAGGCAGGGCCACATTCCTGGGCACTGGGTCCACCGTCAGAAGGAGCTGTAGGGCTCTGTGGCTGTCAGGCAGCCCAAGGTCACCCTCCTCAGGAGGCTGTGAGCACCACACCCCAGCCTTCCTGAGCCCAGGCAGGGAAAGGAAGGCGAATCACGCCCCCATTTGTTTTACAAACTGGATGACCCGGCCTCTCAGATTAACCAGAAAACAAAACCAAAACCAAACCCAAGTCCACCCCTTACAGCACTGGGGCCTGGAGGGGCCGGGTGAGTCTAGGGCTCAGCTTGCCCCGGGGTGACCTCCCGCCTTCCCAGGAAACCCCCCCTCCCAGTTCCCTGAGCTTCCGGTCAACAGTGAGGGGAGCAGGACCCCGGGAGACTGGGGAGCAGTTGGGCCCAGCCCCCAGGGCCCCCGTCCAGAGGTTGGGCCGGGTCAGAGCTGTCATTGTGCTTCACAGTGGGGAGGAAACAGTCCCCCTGCCCCCGCAGTCTGGGGCAATTTCCGGGCTCTGCCCAGGACCCAATCAGACTCCCTAGGGGTGAGGCCTGGGCTTCTGCAGTTTGAAGGCATTTCTAGATTCTCCCTTGGGGGCAGGTGCTCCCACTCTCCTTCCTGGCCAGCCGCCCCCCCCATATTTCAAAGCCCTCACTCTAGCTCTGTGGATGCACCTTCTTCTCACGGGACCCCTCTCACGGAAGCCCTGAGGGCCTCTCCTATTTGGAGCTGTCAAACCCCAGCATCCCTTTGTGGGCTGCCCCTGCCCCCACCCAGCCCCTGAGTGCCCTTCTCGGACCCACCACCTGCATGCCAGGCCCCAAATACCCTGGAACCTGGTCCCCCTCTCCCTCTCCCACCACACACCTGGGCCTGGCCCTTTCTTGCTTTCTTTCTTTTTTAATCCTCACTGGAGGTTACCTTTCCATTTTGGTTCAGATAGAGTGGGAGGGAGAGAGGAAGAGAGGAAGAGAGAAACATCGAAGTGAGGACACATCGATTGGTTGCCTCTCACATGACCCCAATCAGTGCTGGGGATGAACCACAACCAGGTACATGCCCTTGACCGGAACTGAACCTGAGACTCATTGGTCTGCGGGCCGATGCACTAACTGATGAGCTAAACCAGCCGGGGCAGGACCTGGCCCTTTGGTGTCTAGTTATTCCCGCGCCCAGCGCGCCCGTCCTGCCGGGCTGCACAGCGCTGGAGCAGCAGCGAGGGGGAGCTGAAGGGGAAGCTGTGGGCTGCCGTGCTCAGGGAGCTGACCTGGTGGGGCAGGGCCCAGGCAGGAGGGGCCTAGGGGGGCAGGGGGTTCGGACAAGGCTGCCGTAAGACTGCAGTTGGAGGGGGAGAAAACAGCTTGGGCAGACTGCTGGGCACCCCTCCTGGGCATCATGATGCCGCCGACTAGTGTTGGTCCCGAGGGGCCTGGGTGCCATTGGAGCCCCGTTCCTCCAGCTGCAAACCCCTCTGGAAGAAGTAACCCTGACCCAGGCTCAGTGATGACCAAGGCTTTACTTAGCACGTTACTTCGATACCTACGAACAAGGCCAGACAGAGGTTTATGCTCCCAGCTGTGAAGTATGAACACCAGTGAAATTACAAATTAGCCCGGCCGTGTGGCTCAGTGGATGGAGCACTGTCCCAGGGACTGAGGTCCCCGTTCAATGCCCGGTCAGGGCACAAGCCCAGGTTTTGGGCTCCATCCTCAGTAGGGAGTGTGCAGGAGGTAGCTGATCAATGTTTCTCACATCGATGGTTTTCTCTCTTTATCTTTCTGTCTAAAAAATCAACAAAAATATATTTAAAAAAATGTTACAAATCAGATGCCTACAAAACAGATACAATTTAGATTAATAGCGTTAAGTGGTCATCCTAATGTGAAGTATGACTTTATTACTGTAATATGAACACGACATGTACCCTTTCAGCCATGTTTAAACGTCGCCGAACGTGCTGTGTCGTGCAGCCATGGCCACCCTCCGTCCTCAGGCAGCACGTGAGGTCTGGGGAGACAGTTGTCACCTCCTGTCTACAGTGTCATCAGGCAGGTCAGGGAGACTGGGAGGCCTTGCACTGCCCACGATGTTTTCCATGCAACCCAACCGGGAGAGCTGCACCCGCAGGTCACATGGCTGTGAGCACCCCACTCGGCCCCGACTCAGCCTGGGTTCCTTGGTGACAATGTGGGGGTATGCGTGTGTCCCTTGCCAGAATCTTAACTTGGACAGAATTAGACTGAGGGCTCCTTTGATGAAGACGGATTTCCATTGCAGATTTTCCCCGTAAGAGACAAGCTCTGCCTTTGTATCTGCGGACAGCGGGAGAGGGGTCACTTTCTCAGGAGCACATGGGACCCCAGCATGCTGGCCTGTCCGGTCCCAGACAACGCACACAGCTGTCCTGCGGTTAGGGAGCGGTCAGCAAGATGACGGAGTCATCGTGGAAATTCACACACAGAACAATGAACAGAGCTCGAGGCTCCAAGGATACATCTGGGGTCTGTGCATGGGGACCAGCTAGAGGGGCAGGGAGGGAAAAGCAGAGCCCAAGTTGTCCAGAGAAGGGGTGAGGCTCATGGGGGGCATGGGGGCACCTTGAGGGGGTGGGAAGGAGATGCTTGTGAGGTAGCCTGGTCTGTAGGAGCTGGTGCTGGTCCACGTGGGACAGGGAGCCCGGGCAGGAGGCCCTGGTCTACAGGAGCTGGTGCTGGTCCACGTGGGACAGGGAGCCCGGGCAGGAGGCCCAGGTCCGCAGGAGCTGGTGCTGTTCCACGTGGGACAGGGAGCCCGGGCAGGAGGCCCTGGTCTGCAGGAGCTGGTGCTGGTCCACGTGGGACAGGGAGCCCGGGCAGGAGGCTCTGGTCTGCACCACAGGCACCTGGGGTGATGGGAGGTGGAGGGTCCTTCCAGGTGTGAGAAGCACACAGGGGGGGTGGGGCGTGGCCCGGTGCTGGGCACTCCCAGGCTCAGCAGTCTGCACCATGAACAATGGGAACGGCAGGACTTCTAGTCTGCCTCTGGGCAAGAAATATGGACACGCTGCCCAGGAAACCTAATTCCAAAGGTACCCATCGGGCAAACCACTCACATTTGATGGTGGTGATGTCTGCTGTCCACAGAAGTAGCCCTGACCTGAGGCTTGAAGAGGCAGGAGCTGCTGGCAGGTGGGGGATGTGTGTGGTGTGTAACACAGGCCAGGCCACGCCGCACGGGGCTGAGACCGCACACCTAAACCCGCGAGGGACTGGCCGACACCCGTTCCCGGCGGCACCCGGACCCGCGAGGGACTGGCCGACACCTGTGACCTGGCAGGCTCCCGGGGTGAGGGGCAGAACCACCTGTCCTGTGTGCTGCTGTGGCCCCAGCTCCCGGCACAGGAAATATCTGCTGAAGGTGTGGGGGCCCGAAGGTTGGGACCAAGCTCAGCGGGGACAGTATGGCTAGGATCTCAGCAACTAAGGTCAAGGCGGTGCGCGCGACATCCCATCACGTGTGGTTCTCCCAAGGGCACAGCCAGGCCTGGCCCAGGGACAGCCACCTGGCCCCCTGAAGCCTCCGGCAGACCCCCCAGAGGTCGGACAGCTGAGAGAAAATGCAGCCCCACTCACAGGCCGAGCCCACGGTGGGCTGAGGGGACCGCAATCGGCCGAGATCGGACTCTTGAAATATGTGATATAAAATAGAAAGAAACGGAACATGATCTGTGACAGGGAGGTTTTCGCCGTAGACGGCACTTGCTCACAGGATTACCTGAGAAGCAGGGAGACAGTTTTCAGTCACAGGATATCCCGCTCCTCTGCCGATTCTGTTGTCAGAAAGATAGTGACGTTGACACAACACAGCGGCAGACGTGGGGTCACAGGAATCGTGGTCCTTCTAAGGGCTAACCTGTGCGGTGCTGACCTGCCCATCCCTTCTGGGCTCCCAGCAGGCACTGCCTCAGACAGCTCCCTCGAAGGCCAGGAGCTGGAGCAGGGCACTTCTCAGGCCACGCCACCCACCCCGCACCGTCCGCACGGGCGGCCGGGGGCTCTGGAGCCAGAGCACTGCTTCGGACCCGGCTCTGCCAGCACTACCCCGCTTTCCTCCGGCTCCGCTCTGAGCTCATTTCCGCACCCCCAGGACCATCAGGGCAACAACCGCTAATTGTTCGAGTCCTTGGACACGGCTCTAAAATTCCTCCTGTAGGAACTCGTTTAATGGGGACGGACTCCCCGTCATGGGGCAAGCATGAGGAATGGAGCATCGGCACCCCGCCCAAAGCCCGCCCGCAAACAGCGAGGCTCAGCGCGTGCCTGCTCAGGCTGAGAAGCGCCCGTGGCCCTTGTCCCGGCTCACTGGCAGGTCCTCGGGGAGGGCCCGAGTTCAGAACGTACAGGTGCCCTTGGTCCCTGGAGAGCAGCGGGGTCACCAGGGGGGTCACGAGAAGGCTCTCGAGGCGGGTGTGTTCGAGTCCCACGACATGAGGGACCCCGAGCTGCTACTGATCTCGTTCTCGTTCTGGAGGCCCTGGGCCTGCTGACCCTCCTCGATGAGGTCTGCCACCAGGTTGAGCTGGCAGGCCCTGAGCGCCGCCACCAGGTGGGGCAGGGTCGCGTCCTCCTGCGCCGTGTTCTTCCAGACTCGCAGGGACTCTCGCACCTGCTCGGTCAGGTTCCGGGGATACTTCACCTCGATGGCGTCGATCTTGGTGTCGGGCACTTTCAGCTGACGAGCCAGCCTTCTCCAGTCCCTCCCCACCTGATCACATATGATGTCAAACGCCGCATACAGGTCTGGAGGAAGGAAGAACAAGATGATTTACTGGAGGTGTGGGCGCTCCTTAGGAGACATAACCTGACGGGCTCCTGTGCTGACCCACGTGATGGGGACACCAGGGGTCCTCATGCAAAGGCTGAAGTCACCTGGCTGCAGAGGGGCGTGTTTAAACACACAAAACCCTGATTGGTCTCCTTTCAGGAGAAGCTGTGCTGCTAGCTTCCCGCCCACAAGCACCAGTCCTCCCGGAGCGACACCTGCGGTGTCACACTTATGTCCTTTTTGGGTTCAGTGACAGAATGACAGTTTCCAGGCCTGAAGCCTGTGGTGGGGTGTCCCCAAAGCACTTCCGGCCCGTCCCCCAGGCTCTGAGAACATGGCATGTGGCCGAGAAACCCTGCTGAACCCAGGTCTCACTTTTACCCCTGGAAGCCCCTGCAAGCCACGGGTGCGGGTGGCAGGGTGGGTGCCTGAAGGTGGCCCAGGAGCCACTACAAACGGACTTGATCACAGGGACAGCTTCGTCCCTAATACCACCGACCCTGTTACTTATTGGCTACGCACGTCACTCACTATCCCTGGGCCACCGTCCTCTCGATTGTGAAAGGGGAATAATGGCAGATAACAGTGTTTAACCAATCGGGTTTTGGTGAAAACTAAATACCTAACGTGCTTAGAAGGGCAAGGCCCGCTGTGAACCCGCCGATCATGATTGCTCAGTTATCGTTCTTTTCGCACGGCGGCGGCGCGGGCACCAGTGGGCACGAACTCCCGGGCAGAAGGCGAGCGCCGGCTGCAGCACAGGCTCACGCGACCCTTCCCCACCCAGAGGGGACTAGTGACGCCTTTTTCTACCACGTGCTTGTGTGTTTTCTCCCTTATGGAGACGGCGTGGGGTGGCGGGCCCGATGCAGGGCTTGCAGGGGCGGGCGGCCGTTCTCCGCCAGCGAGGGTGAGTTCGCTGCTCCGAGTTCTGGTTCTGCCACGTGTCACCCGTGTTCCGGGGTGGGTTGGAGGAAACCCACGCACACTCAAACCCGGCCAGGGAGAGGCGCCCGGCCCGGCCCGCGCCCACCTTGCTCCTCCGGCGGCGCCCGCCCCGCCGCGCCCGCCTCGTACTCGTCCAGGCGCCGCAGCAGGTCCTGGCGCCGCAGGGACACGAGCAGCTCGCGCAGCAGCTCGGTGCGCTCGCCGTCCAGCTCGTTCTGCTCCAGCAGCACGGAGAAGAGCTCCACGCCGCTCTGCACGCGCTCCAGCTTCCTCTTGCTCACGCGGCCCTGGCACAGGAACTTGAGCTCGGTCAGCTCGCTGCTCGACAGGCCGGTGGACACCGAGTGCAGCAGCACCAGGAACCGGTCCATGGCGGGCGGCGGGCGGCGGCCACCCGCGGGCGGGCGCGGCCCCCGCCTCGCCCGCCACCCCCGGCCTCGGCCCGCCCCCCGGCCTGCGCCCCAGGGACTCCGCCGCAGGGGCTCGCTCCGCACTAGCCCCCGTCCTCAATCCTGCCACCGGAAGTCCACTACCGGCTTGCTCCTCCAGCGTCTCGCGAGAACTCCGGGACTCGCGCATGCGTCCGGAACGTGACCGTAGCCGTTTCCGCCTGGGAGGCGCGTCGCCGCCGCTAGAGGGCGCCCCAGACAGGAAACCGGCGCGGGGCTGGCGTGGCCTCTGCGCCTGCGCCCTTCGGACCTTCCCCCTCGGGACGGGAACACGTGGCCTTGGAGAGCCGAGACCCCGGTGGGGGCTGGGAGGGCCGGCCTGCGTTTCCTGTGGAATGTGGCAGTGCGGATGCTGGTAATAAATGCATCTGTGAACATGCGTGATGGTGCATGCCCTCTGGTGCCCCCGCGACCCCTGTGTGCGGAAAAGATTTCTCAGAGCTTTATCCAGGTGTTCGAGTTTCATTGGTGTTTGGTTTTTTAAAGTCGTAGGCATGGGCGCTCTGCGGGCCGTTGAGCGTCTATGGAGCGCCTGCTGTGTGCCAGGCAGCAGGTGCTGGGGGCAAATCGGGACGATCGTGGAAGTGCCCGCCCGCTAGGGCTAGCCAGCAGCACACCAGCCTGCAGATGAGCAAGTGCAGCTGCCTGAGGTCAGGGCGCGGGGTGGGGGTGGGGGTGGGGCGGCGGGGGCGGGGCAGAGCCTGAGCCCTGGCTCCAGCGCGGTGGGACCAGCAGGTGTGCAGCTGGGAGCCAGGGTGGGGGGCGGGAGGGGGTCAGGCAGGGGAGGAGGCAGCTTAGGAAGGGCCTCACCGGCCAGGTGAGTGAGGCCTGGCTTTCTGCCTGAGATGGAGACCCTGCAGGCAACTCATATCCCATGTAACTTACCCTCTTCAAGTCTACAATTCACTGGTTTTTAGTACATTCATTAGGCTGGCCAACCTTCACCATTAGCTAATTTTAGGACATTTTCATCACCCCAAGTGATGAACCTGCTCCCCATTAGCAGTCACTTTCATCCTCTCTTCTCCCCATACAGCTTGTGGCCTTTGAGCCTGTTTTCTTTTCATGGAGCAGGCTGTCCTCAAGGCTCATCCACAGTGCAGCACTTGTCAGTGCTTTGATTTATTTTTAATGGGTCAGTAGTCTTCCATCATAGGAATAGACCATGTTGATTCATCAGTCATCAGCTGATGGACATTTTGGTGGTTTCCACCTTTTGGCCATTATGAATAATGCTGCTATGAACTCTGAGTAATATATATATATATTTACTTTTTTTTTTTTATTGCTTTTAGAGAGAGGAAGGGAGAGATAGAAACATTGACCGGCCACCTCCTGCATGCCCTCCACTGGGGATTGGGCCCACAACCTGGACATGTGCCCTTACTGGGAATCGAACCGTTGACCTCTTGGTGCATGGGTCGACGCTCAACCAATGAGCCACACTGGCCGGGAAGTAATATATATTTTTAAATTTTTTATTTATGGATTTCAGAGAGAGAAAGAGAGAGAGGAAGGAAAACATTGATTTGCTGTTTTAGTCATTTATTTATTCAATGATTGACTCCTGTATACACTCTGATCGGGGACAGAACCCACAATCTTGGCATAGAGAGACAACACTCTAACCAACCGAGCTACTCAGCTAGGGCTCTGAGTAATATATATATAAAATATATATATTTTAAATCCTTACCCAAAGATACTTTTCCATTTATCTTCGGATAGAGTGGAAGGGGGAAAGACAGAGAGAAACATCGATGTGAGAGAGACACATCGATTGGTTGCCTCCCGCACGACCCCAACAAGGGCCGGGGACCAAACTGCAACCGAGGTACATGCCCTTGACCAGAATTGAACCCATGACTCTTTGGTCCGTAGGCCGATGCTCTAACCACTGAGCAAAACCGGCCAGGGCTCTGAGTAATATTTTTAAGGACTCACTCCCCCTGGGTAGCAGCGATGGAACTCCGAGTTAATCCTGGTGAGGGAAGAGGGTACCCGGACTGAGTGCAGCAGAAGTGGACACAAACGAGAGGAACTGAGGATGCTGGTAAGGTTTGAAGGGTGGAGTGTCCACTGAGTGACCTGGGGGAGGCTTTGACTTGACAGTGGGATGCGCAGGATGAGGGCTCGGGGTGGAGGTCTGGGCGGAGGTGTTAATTTGGAAGTATTCTGCAGATAGATGGTATTTGTGATGGTCAATTTTATGGCAACATGACTGGGCTAAGGGCTGCCCCGACAGCCGGAGAAAATATTTCTGGGTGTGTCTGTGAGGGTGCATTTGAATCGGCAGAGTCAAGCCGATGGCCCTCCCCGGTCCCGGTGGGCACCGTGCTATCTGTCCAGGATCTGAATAGAACAAAAGGCGAGGCAGGGCGAATTCGCTCTCGGCTTGAACTGCACTCCCCCAGTGGTGCTCTTGGGTCTTGGGTTTTGGACTTACACTGGGACTCACATCACTGCCCCCCATTTTCATGCCCTTAGATTCAGACTGAACTACACCACGGGTGTTCCTGGTTCCCTGGCTTGCAGACGGCGGAAGGTGGGGCTTCCTGGTTTCCACACCGCGTGAGCCAGTTCCTGTGACAAACCTGCCGGCGGAGGTCTCTGTACACCCGAGGGCTGCTCCTCTGGAACACCTCGCTAATACAGTCCCCAAGGGGGGGAGCAGAGAGAGAAGGGCCCGTGGCTGAGCCCCCGCGTGTCCATTCCTGTCACTTGTCTGCAGCAATGTCCGTTCAAGTCCTCCGCCCATTTTTAATTGGGTGGCTTGTCTTTGTTGTTGAGTTGAAGGGAGTCTTTATATATCCCAGAAATGGATCCCACAACAGATGTTCGACGTGCAAACATTTCCTCCCATTTTGTGAACTGCCATTCCGCTGTGTCCTTCGACGCACAGAAGTTTTAAATTCTGACGAAGTCCAGTGTATGCGGGGTTTTTTTTTTGTTTTGTTTTTTTCATTCAGCACGTTTTTTGTTTGTTTGTTTGTTTTTAAATAAAGAGCCCTGACTGGTTTGGCCCAGCAGTTGGAGCATTGGTCTGCGGTCCGGAGAGACCCAGGTTCGGTTCCCGCTAAAGGCACGTACCTCGGTTGCAGTTTGTCCCCGGCCCTGGTTGGGTCGTGCGGGAGGCAGCCACTCGATGTGTCCCTTTCATGTCGACGTTTCTCTCTCTCATTCCCTCCCACTCTATCTGAACAAAATATCAAAAAATGGAAAAATGTCCTCGGGTGAGGATAAAAAAAAATAGGAAAAAAGAAAAGGCATGTTGTAGGGTTCCTCGGGTGCAGGTCTGTCTTGTCCGTGCAGGTGGGTGGCGGAGTGTGTGTCCTGTCCCTGTTTGTCTCCGTGTTCCCTCTGTTCTGTTGTTCCCTTCTTTCCGTTGGTTTTGGTCTCTCTCAGTCATGTTGGCTCTGAGCTTTGCTCGGGGGCCGTCCGCCCGCCACCAGGATGTCCACACCCCGACCCCAGACACATAGGTCGGTGTCCATGGCAGAAGCGGTTTTGCAGGTGTGATGAAGATGAAGGATTTCGAGGTGGGGGTTTATCCTGGATTATTCCCGGGGACCCACGCTAACCAGCCACTGCAGGCTTGAAGATCGTGGGAGGGTCCAGCGCTGCCGACTCCTTGATTTTAGCCCAGTGAGGCCCGTGTCTCACCTACGGGGCTAGAAGTTAATAAATGCGTGTGGTTTTAAGCCACTAATGTGTGGTCATTTGCCGGGAGAGCAGACCAAACCAGCACTGGTCCACGGGCTGGGTCCTTTCCTCCCCGGGTGCAGCTCCAGGCAGCCAGCAGAGGGCAGCAGCCGCCAACAAGCAAAGCCAGGGACACGCATTTGTGGCTGGACGTCTGCTCAGCAGGCGGACCCCGGTGGCAGCAGGTGAGAAGGGGTGACCGGGGGGAGCACCGAGATGGGCCCCTCTTCTGGGCCCTGGCCACAGAGGGGTGTGTTACACTTCCATATACATGTGGGGAAGAGGCGGCGGGGGGCGCGAGGCCTGCACTCTGGGGAGAAGGGCAGCTGCTGTCGGGCCCGCAACACGGGAGAGGTGACCTGGTGAAAAACGGGCCGTGTCGTCAGATGGCGTGAGTTTTCGAGAGAACACGCAAAGGTGGAGTTTTCTGTTCTTTTTAAAATTAAATTCACTCAGATATCAACTAGTACTGACTCCATCAAAAGGAGGTTGTTGTTCTTGGGCTGGATGCGGCCCGTGCCAACCGCCATCGCCCGGGGAGGGCAGCAGGGCCCCACGGCAGACTCTGGGGGGGGGCGGACTCCTGCCCATCCCTCACACCACCCAGGGACAGTAGCACAACATTCAGCGCTCGGTGCCACAGGGCCTGGGTCTGAAGGGTGGCTGAGTAGCCAGCTTGCCGCGTGACCACAGCGGAGCCCTGGGCCTCTCTGGGCCTCCTAGTGCCGTCTGTGAAGTAACAGCGGCTGACCAGTGGGGAACCCTTCCACTACGAGGCTGCAGGTCTTTCTGACGTCGTCTGTTGCTTTCCTCCACCCGTCCAAGCCCCATCATCGCTTCCCTGAATTTCCGCAGCCCTCTCCACCCAACTGCTGCAGAGACCTAAAATGTGAATCAGATCCTGTCCCTGCCCCGGTTAAAAACGCCCTTCCCCTGCTGTGGCATTGAACAACACTCACATGGTCCTCACGTGGCCGGGGACCCTGCGTGAGTTAGTGCCGGCTGCCTCCCCAGTCCTTTGCTCCAGCCATGCTGTCCTTACTGCTCCTAGAATTACCCAGCATGCTGCTGCCCCAGGGCCTTTGCACATGCCGGTCTCACTTTCTGAACTGTCCTGCTTTTTTCCAGGGTTTTACGTTCTGGCTCCTCATTGCTCAGCTCTCCAAGGCCCTCCCTGACCAACTCAGTCTCTGTCAGTGGTACCCCTTGTCATATTTCATCAGCACCCCTTTCTTCCTCTGAAGTTACCTGTTTTGGTGTTCATTTTCTGGGTCAGTGTCTGGCGCCCTCTGCAAGAAGCCATCCCCTGAGGGAAGGGAAGTGTCTGCTGTGCTCACTGCTCTGTTACACGAGCGACTGTAGGGTCCGGGTGCCAGTCTCTGTGAGGTCCCGGCTTCGCTAATGAGCCTGGGATCTTGGGCAAGTGGCCTTGGGCTCTGACCCTGTCTCCTCATCTATCAGATGGGGCTGAGCGTCCTGCCATGAGCCCCAGGCTTCTGGGAGGACCCAGGAGAGGGGCCGGGTGCCTGGGACGCTGCCCTCGGCTCAGGGCCAAGGACGTGGTTCCTCAGCTTTAGAACTTTGACTGCGAGTAACCGGGACACTGGGCTTGCGGTTTGCCGAGGGTTTCTTGGGGATGGAGGCACACGGGCATGAGGGGGCCCCTGAGGCTTGCTGCTGGCAGGTGAGGCTCTGGGGGTGTGCGGGACCCAGGCCACCTGAGTGGCTCCTGAGGCAAGAGTCCCAGCTAACAGGTCTGCACTGCCCCGCTGATGTTTGGTGTTACAAATGTCCCTTCTTTCCCAACATGACGGTGATTCTAGAAACAGGTGTCCCCACTTATCCAAATGAGAACACTGGCGACTCTAGGTTGGTCCCCAAAAGGTTGGGGGCAAAGCTTCGCTCCATGAAATCCCAAATATTACTGTGTTGGGTTGGTGGGAGCAGGGGTCAGGATTTGGGGCTCATGGAAGAGGCTGCTGGAAAGGTGTGACAACTCCCACCCCGACACACACATGTACACACACATGCACACACAGACACAAGCACACATGCGCACACAAGCCCACGCACACACGTGCATAGACACAGGCACACACACAGGTACACAAGCACACACAAACACGTGCACACATGCCCATGCACACACGTTTGCAGACACATGCATGTAGAAACACACATGCATGCACACACACACTCACGAAGAGGAAGTCTCAGGCACACCTGGAGCCCTTCATGTGTCTGTCACCAAAGGAAACGATGCCCCCAAGTCCCTCCCGAATTTGCAGCTCAGCCACAGGGCTTGGGACATCGGGGACAGCCTCGGGAGCTTCCTGGGTAGCCAGACGGCGTTCAGGAAGGAAGATGTCACCCTTCCAGGTTTATCCCGGGGAATGTCTAGCCACGGCCCTGTGGATCTGTGCACATTCACGTGAAAGAAATGGTTTCCATGAAAGGATTTTTGGTAATCACCTACTTTTTAATACAACATTCATATACAAAAACCCATTTCGAAGGACTTCCTGTACACGAGAACACAGAAGCGTCGGATGGGACGCCGGTGGCCAGGCACGAACGTCAGCGACACCGCAGACTCTGATTGGAGCTGGCAGCTCGCGGGAAGGTCTGGTCGCACCAGCCCTGCCTCGGAGGCAGGCACGGGTGCCCCCCACCCCTGTGCCGAAGCCTTTCCTTCTGTTTCTCTGGGTGCAGGAGAAACTTCGGAGAGGCATTTCAGGTTAGTGTGACTGCGGCCCACTCGGGTCCCCACGTCACCTACAAGACCTGTCTGCACAAGTTTTAAAAATCCTATCTGTCCAACAGTCACATTCCTGTAAGTAAAAATATAGAGAAGTGTTACCAAAATAGAAGCCTTTATTAATAAAAATCTTTGGTAGTAACAGTAGGTTAAATTCCTCTCGATATTTGGTTAACTAGTAAAAGAAATTCCTTCCACCTTTGAGCTACAAGGAAAGAAAACAACCACCCTCCAATCCACCGTAGAATCGATTTTAAGAAAACTCAATAAATATCCTAAGGCGGTGACCGCACCCCCGGGAGCTGGAAGACCCCCGAGACCCTTGTCACCCCTAGACGTGCCTCCGGCGGGCCCTGGCTGCCCGCTGCCTGTTCGCCGGCTTTGCCCCACGAGGAAGAGTTGTGAGGTCAGCCCATTGCGGTGGGCGTGTGGCTGGCGGTGGGGGCCCCGTGCAGGCTGGTCACCGGCTCCCTCAGGGCCCTGCAGGAGTCACCTGGGTGCTCCCACGCCCTGACCTGCGCCAGCTGCCTCTCCTGACCCGAGGGCCTGATTCTGGACCTACGGGTGACCGGAGGCGGGCCCCCTCTCCCGACGCGGAGGCAGGTGAGGTCTCAGAACTGGTCCCGTGGCTCGGGCATCGCGTCTCCGTTCTCCCTCCGCGTGGCACCCCCGGGTGCCCAGTGCCTTTCGACCTGCTGGGGCACCCGGCGGAGTGAAGGAGGTGCCCCGGACACCTCTGCCCCTGTGGCCGCACGGACGCCCGGTCTCCGAGCCCTGCCCCTGCCCCGAGCCGGCTCTGCCTCCCGTCATCCCCCTACCCCGCCATCACTCCGATTAACCTTGGATATGAAAGATAAAAAAATTCCCTGCGTAATGGTTTTGTGCAAAAACAAGGGAAAAAAACAAAACAGAAAAAAGATAAAAAAATGTCCTATCAGAAGGTGGTCATCAAGGTTCGCTGCAAACGCAGGGGTCACCGGGGCCTGCTGGGGGCGCCGGCGCTACAGGGTGCCCCTGTGGTGCTCGGGGCTGTGGTTGCCGCTCGGCGCCCCCTTCGGGGCGCGCTCCATCCACGTGTCCAGCAGCTGCTGCTTGCCCTGCTCCTCCCGCATGAACAGCTCCACCATGAGCACCTTCTCCTTGTGGATCTGCTGGCTGATGTCCTTGGGGATGTCGGGGATGACCCAGTCCACGAAGTCGCTCATGAACATGACCAGGTTCTGGAAGGAAAGCCAGTGTGTGGGGTGGGGAGGGGGACCCCGGGAAACGCTCCCCGTCACCCCCTGCCCGTGAGCTCGGCGCCACCTTTGAGCCCCTGGGCCTTGGCTTCCCGGAAGGTCTAGCTGAGGCAGGAAACCAGCCAGCAGCCCCTCTGCCGTGCCTGCCAGTCTTGTCTCCAGAAACTTCTATTTACTGATTTTGAGAGAGAGAGACTGAGCGAGGACATGGGCTTGTTGCCTCGGACGAGGGCCCGGCCAGGGCGGCCTTGGGAGAATGCGGGGCGGGCGGGCAGGAGCCGTCCCCGGGGATGGGAGATGCCTTGGCCGGGAGGTGTGAGAAATGGCCCGACTGCTCACACATCAGCAAAGACGACAAGGATCCCGGCTCATTTATACAGTGAAACGGCACCAACACGGATGGACCATGAACCCACTGACAGTTCCGTGGGCGTGGCCGCAGCGTGCGGGGTTCCCCAGGATCACCCCGAATGTCTCTCACCGGAGAAACTTCCGGGGTGCAGAGCGCAGGTGGGCAGCCTTACGGAATAACCGAAACCTCCAGGTTTTGTAAAGTCCTGCCCGTGAGCGTCAGCGGCACACGGCAGAGTGAGCCGCCTGGTCGTGGGCACGGCTGGTGCCCCCCAGACCCCAGCCGTGGCCGGTGTTGGCCGCAAATGCCCACAGCGGCACCCACTCCGGGGAGCTGCCTTCCCTGTCCCCCTTTCCGGCTTGGCCAGCCCATGGCCAAGGGCTGGCCTTGGTGGGGGACAGAGGTGCTGAGTCCAGTGGGCCGTGCGTGTGGCGTGGCGGTGTCTGGGCGGGCGGGTGAGGCCGCAGCCCTGCAGGGCTCCCTCCCTGACCCCCCCCAGTCCTCAGCCTCTGCCCCTGGGGAACTCGGCCCAGATCAGGTCCTGGACAGCTGCCCATCGGGGCAGTGGTGCCTCAGGGGTGGACGTCCTGCCTGAAGCCACACTGGTGTCAGGGGCAGGGCTGGGGCTGAATCCCGGATGCTGGGGGCACACGGAAATGGGAGCTCGGCAGGGCCCACACGGCTGAGTGTGCTCCCCATCAGCCGCCACAGACACCAGCCTGGCCCCCAGTCCGGGGTCGTGTCCACTGGGAATCGCTTTGGCCTCAGAGTGAGCCTGTCCCCGTCCCCAGAGATGGCCGGGGTGAGGCCAGTCCCCTGGATGCCAGGGCTGGAGCCAGCGGGCCCACTGCCCTCCTGGCCCGTGTGCTGGGGCGTCTCCTGCCGCACAGACTGTGAGAGACAGAGGGGACCGAGGCGGAGTCCCCGACCCCCCGGTTTTCTTCGACGGGCTCCTGCCTGCCCCCGCCCTCCAACGGATCCCACTCCTCCCGCCGGCGCTGGTCGGCCCCTCGCTCGCGCACGAGGCCCTGGCACCGGCACAGGTCTGCCAGGCCGCTCCTGGGACCCCGAACCCCGCCGCCAGCTGACCCTCCGACTCGCTCTCGCACTCCGCACACGGGCCTGTCGTACCTGGAAGACGATGACGAAGGCCAACCGAGCCGCCAGGACGGCCCAGAAGTCCTTGGAGATGTCGTACTTGTGCTCCGACCACGGGGGCTCCCGGTAGTCCTTGTACCTGCAAGTGCGGCAGAAATCGGGGTTCTGCCCAGGACCGCGCGGCTGCTGGGTGCAGGGGGGCCTGGCTGGGGCCCCCGGTGGGCAGGGGCTCTCCCTGCCGCGGGGTGGCCAGGAACCGCTGTGGGCTGGCAGGGCCCAAGGGGCTCTGCGGAGTGTGAGGGGCCCAGTGTCCCCAGAGGCCCGGCGTGAGCCCGCAGAAGTGGGCTCTGGGGCCGTCGGGTGACTCCCTTTTTCCAAAAGAACTCCCACCCGAAACCCTCAGCAGGTCCCACAGGCACGGGGGTCCCTAAGCCTGGCGCCCCTAACCTCAACCCAAGCCCACTGTCCACAAAACTACAGGCTGGGTGCCACAACACCCAGTTTGAAAACCATGTGCCCAGTCTGTCCCCTCCTTGCGGCGGAAACTACTGGAAAAAGGAAACATTTTCTCAACGTCGCGTGTGGGGAGGTGAAGCATACAGGTGGTGTGGGCGGGACCTGCCAGGCAACTGCCCGGGGACACTCCTCTCGTCCAGCTGCGGCCTCCTGGCTGTTACCCCTTATCTCTGCGTAGTACCCGCCACCCTCCGTCCCTCCTTCCCCCCGTGATCAGGTTCAGACACTGCCTACTGACTCCCTGCTCGGAGACTCCAGCTCCCTCCACCCCTCCCCAGCCCTGCCTGTTCCGGGTTCTGCGGGCTCCATCGTTACCTATGTCTGCCCGCCACTCTGCCAGAGGGAGAGACGGCACCTCTGGAACTTCGGCCTCTCTGCCCCCTTCCTCTTTCACGGAGGCCCAGAGATGCCCAGGACGAGACCTGAGGTCCTTCCTCTTTCACAGAAACCCAGGGATGCCCAGGACGAGACCTGAGGTCCTTCCTCGTTCACGGAGGCCCAGGGATGCCCAGGACGAGACCTGAGGTCCTTCCTCATTCACGGAGGCCCAGGGATGCCCAGGACGAGACCTGAGGTCCTTCCTCATTCACGGAGGCCCAGGGATGCCCAGGACGAGACCTGAGGTCCTTCCTCGTTCACGGAGGCCCAGAGATGCCCAGGACGGGACCTGAGGTCCTTCCTCGTTCACGGAGGCCCAGAGATGCCCAGGACGGGACCTGAGGTCCTTCCTCATTCACGGAGGCCCAGGGATGCCCAGGACGAGACCTGAGGTCCTTCCTCGTTCACGGAGGCCCAGGGATGCCCAGGACGGGACCTGAGGTCCTTCCTCGTTCACGGAGGCCCAGAGATGCCCAGGACGGGACCTGAGGTCCTTCCTCGTTCACGGAGGCCCAGGGATGCCCAGGACGAGACCTGAGGTCCTTCCTCTTTCACAGAAACCCAGGGATGCCCAGGACGAGACCTGAGGTCCTTCCTCATTCACGGAGGCCCAGAGATGCCCAGGACGGGACCTGAGGTCCTTCCTCGTTCACGGAGGCCCAGGGATGCCCAGGACGAGACCTGAGGTCCTTCCTATTTCACGGAGGCCCAGGGATGCCCAGGACGAGACCTGAGGTCCTTCCTCGTTCACGGAGGCCCAGGGATGCCCAGGACGGGACCTGAGGTCCTTCCTATTTCACGGAGGCCCAGGGATGCCCAGGACGAGACCTGAGGTCCTTCCTCGTTCACGGAGGCCCAGGGATGCCCAGGACGGGACCTGAGGTCCTTCCTATTTCACGGAGGCCCAGGGATGCCCAGGACGAGACCTGAGGTCCTTCCTCATTCACGGAGGCCCAGAGATGCCCAGGACGGGACCTGAGGTCCTTCCTCGTTCACGGAGGCCCAGGGATGCCCAGGGCGAGACCTGAGGTCCTTCCTCGTTCACGGAGGCCCAGAGATGCCCAGGACGGGACCTGAGGTCCTTCCTTGTTCACGGAGGCCCAGGGATGCCCAGGACGAGACCTGAGGTCCTTCCCATTTCACGGAGGCCCAGGGATGCCCAGGACGGGACCTGAGGTCCTTCCCATTTCACGGAGGCCCAGGGATGCCCAGGACGAGACCTGAGGTCCTTCCTACTTCACGAAGGCCCAGGGATGCCCAGGACGGGACCTGAGGTCCTTCCTCGTTCACGGAGGCCCAGGGATGCCCAGGACGAGACCTGAGGTCCTTCCTCATTCACGGAGGCCCAGGGATGCCCAGGACGAGACCTGAGGTCCTTCCTCATTCACGGAGGCCCAGAGATGCCCAGGACGAGACCTGAGGTCCTTCCTCATTCACAGAGGCCCAGGGATGCCCAGGACGAGACCTGAGGTCCTTCCTCATTCACGGAGGCCCAGGGATGCCCAGGACGAGACCTGAGGTCCTTCCTCATTCACGGAGGCCCAGGGATGCCCAGGGCGAGACCTGAGGTCCTTCCTCGTTCACGGAGGCCCAGGGATGCCCAGGACGGGACCTGAGGTCCTTCCTCATTCACGGAGGCCCAGGGATGCCCAGGACGAGACCTGAGGTCCTTCCTCATTCACGGAGGCCCAGAGATGCCCAGGACGAGACCTGAGGTCCTTCCTCATTCACAGAGGCCCAGGGATGCCCAGGACGAGACCTGAGGTCCTTCCTCATTCACGGAGGCCCAGGGATGCCCAGGACGAGACCTGAGGTCCTTCCTCATTCACGGAGGCCCAGGGATGCCCAGGGCGAGACCTGAGGTCCTTCCTCGTTCACGGAGGCCCAGGGATGCCCAGGACGGGACCTGAGGTCCTTTCTCATTCACGGAGGCCCAGGGATGCCCAGGACGAGACCTGAGGTCCTTCCTATTTCACGGAGGCCCAGGGATGCCCAGGGCGAGACCTGAGGTCCTTCCTCGTTCACGGAGGCCCAGGGATGCCCAGGACGAGACCTGAGGTCCTTCCTCGTTCACGGAGGCCCAGGGATGCCCAGGGCGAGACCTGAGGTCCTTCCTCGTTCACGGAGGCCCAGGGATGCCCAGGACGGGGCCTGAGGTCCTTCCTCATTCACGGAGGCCCAGGGATGCCCAGGACGGGACCTGAGGTCCTTCCTCGTTCACGGAGGCCCAGGGATGCCCAGGACGAGACCTGAGGTCCTTCCTCATTCACGGAGGCCCAGGGATGCCCAGGACGAGACCTGAGGTCCTTCCTCATTCACGGAGGCCCAGAGATGCCCAGGACGAGACCTGAGGTCCTTCCTCATTCACAGAGGCCCAGGGATGCCCAGGACGAGACCTGAGGTCCTTCCTCATTCACGGAGGCCCAGGGATGCCCAGGACGAGACCTGAGGTCCTTCCTCATTCACGGAGGCCCAGGGATGCCCAGGGCGAGACCTGAGGTCCTTCCTCGTTCACGGAGGCCCAGGGATGCCCAGGACGTGACCTGAGGTCCTTCCTCATTCACGGAGGCCCAGGGATGCCCAGGACGAGACCTGAGGTCCTTCCTATTTCACGGAGGCCCAGGGATGCCCAGGGCGAGACCTGAGGTCCTTCCTCGTTCACGGAGGCCCAGGGATGCCCAGGACGAGACCTGAGGTCCTTCCTCATTCACGGAGGCCCAGGGATGCCCAGGGCGAGACCTGAGGTCCTTCCTCGTTCACGGAGGCCCAGGGATGCCCAGGACGGGACCTGAGGTCCTTCCTCATTCACGGAGGCCCAGGGATGCCCAGGACGGGACCTGAGGTCCTTCCTCGTTCACGGAGGCCCAGGGATGCCCAGGACGAGACCTGAGGTCCTTCCTACTTCACGGAGGCCCAGGGATGCCCAGGACGGGACCTGAGGTCCTTCCTACTTCACGGAGGCCCAGGGATGCCCAGGACGAGACCTGAGGTCCTTCCTACTTCACGGAGGCCCAGGGATGCCCAGGACGAGACCTGAGGTCCTTCCTCATTCACGGAGGCCCAGGGATGCCCAGGATGAGACCTGAGGCCCTTCCTCGTTCACGGAGGCCCAGAGATGCCCAGGACGGGACCTGAGGTCCTTCCTCATTCACGGAGGCCCAGGGATGCCCAGGGCGAGACCTGAGGTCCTTCCTCTTTCACGGAAACCCAGGGATGCCCAGGGCGAGACCTGAGGTCCTTCCTCGTTCACGGAGGCCCAGGGATGCCCAGGGCGAGACCTGAGGTCCTTCCTCGTTCACGGAGGCCCAGGGATGCCCAGGACGAGACCTGAGGTCCTTCCTCGTTCACGGAGGCCCAGGGATGCCCAGGGCGAGACCTGAGGTCCTTCCTATTTCACGGAGGCCCAGGGATGCCCAGGACGGGACCTGAGGTCCTTCCTCGTTCACGGAGGCCCAGGGATGCCCAGGGCGAGACCTGAGGTCCTTCCTCGTTCACGGAGGCCCAGGGATGCCCAGGACGGGACCTGAGGTCCTTCCTCGTTCACGGAGGCCCAGGGATGCCCAGGACGGGACCTGAGGTCCTTCCTCGTTCACGGAGGCCCAGGGATGCCCAGGACGGGACCTGAGGTCCTTCCTCGTTCACGGAGGCCCAGGGATGCCCAGGACGAGACCTGAGGTCCTTCCTCATTCACGGAGGCCCAGAGATGCCCAGGACGGGACCTGAGGTCCTTCCTTGTTCACGGAGGCCCAGGGATGCCCAGGACGAGACCTGAGGTCCTTCCCATTTCACGGAGGCCCAGGGATGCCCAGGACGGGACCTGAGGTCCTTCCTCGTTCACGGAGGCCCAGGGATGCCCAGGACGGGACCTGAGGTCCTTCCTATTTCACGGAGGCCCAGGGATGCCCAGGACGAGACCTGAGGTCCTTCCTACTTCACGAAGGCCCAGGGATGCCCAGGACGAGACCTGAGGTCCTTCCTATTTCACGGAGGCCCAGGGATGCCCAGGACGAGACCTGAGGTCCTTCCTACTTCACGAAGGCCCAGGGATGCCCAGGACGAGACCTGAGGGCCTTCCTACTTCACGAAGGCCCAGGGATGCCCAGGACGAGACCTGAGGTCCTTCCTACTTCACGAAGGCCCAGGGATGCCCAGGACGAGACCTGAGATCCTTCCTACTTCACGAAGGCCCAGGGATGCCCAGGACGAGACCTGAGGTCCTTCCTACTTCACGAAGGCCCAGGGATGCCCAGGACGAGACCTGAGGTCCTTCCTACTTCACGAAGGCCCAGGGATGCCCAGGACGAGACCTGAGGTCCTTCCTACTTCACGAAGGCCCAGGGATGCCCAGGACGAGACCTGAGGTCCTTCCCCGTTCACGAAGGCCCAGGGATGCCCAGGACGAGACCTGAGGTCCTTCCCCGTTCACGAAGGCCCAGGGATGCCCAGGACGAGACCTGAGGTCCTTCCTATTTCACGGAGGCCCAGGGATGCCCAGGACGGGACCTGAGGTCCTTCCTATTTCACGGAGGCCCAGGGATGCCCAGGACGAGACCTGAGGTCCTTCCTCGTTCACGGAGGCCCAGGGATGCCCAGGACAAGACCTGAGGTCCTTCCTATTTCACGGAGGCCCAGGGATGCCCAGGACGGGACCTGAGGTCTTTCCTCGTTCACGGAGGCCCAGGGATGCCCAGGACGGGACCTGAGGTCCTTCCTCGTTCACGGAGGCCCAGGGATGCCCAGGACGGGACCTGAGGTCCTTCCTATTTCACGGAGGCCCAGGGATGCCCAGGACGAGACCTGAGGGCCTTCCTCGTTCACGGAGGCCCAGGGATGCCCAGGACGAGACCTGAGGGCCTCTCTCCACCTAGGCCCATACAACTGCTCCCTGGGTTCGGGGGGTGCTTGGGTTTAACGGGGCCGACACCCCTCTGCATTGGAAACACTGCCAGAAAAAACCCCGAGTTCAGGCGTGGGCTGCAGGCATGCCCCTGGTGGTCACTGGAAAGCTGCGGTCCAGGGGGAGACGAGGAGTAAGGCACCTGGTTTTGTGGGCACAGCAGCCCTGGACTGGACCCCAAACCAGTTACTGCCTTGTGGTGTCTCCCCGGCCAGTCACCGGGCCTCAGACTGGCGTCCCCTCACTATTCACACTGGGCACTTACTGAACCACCACGATGGGCAGAGAGGGTACAAAGCAGCCCAGGGTGCAGAGTCAGCAGCGAACACACCAGACCGGGCCCTCACCCCGCGAGCTTCGTGTCTGGAGTGAGCTGGATGGAAGGGCTAAGCTGTGAGGCTCAGAGACAGGACTGGGAACACACAACCTGGCGCCACCCGCTGAGCCACACAGACGTTGCACGGCCTGAACTCCGACGGGACAGGCAGCCGTGTTCTCCTAGCATCAGAAGCCACACACATCTGTCCTCCCTCTTCGTTCTGTGCTCAAGTCCTGATGCGTCGGGAGACTGGAAAGTGCGTTTGGGTCACCCGGCAAACTCCTCTGCATCCCTCAAAGCCCACTTACAGACCTGTCCAGATGCCACCACCCGCACTGACTTCTATCGGAGATGATCTTATGTTTTTCTCTTGTTTAGCTCTTCTTAGCCACCTGCTAGCCCCGCCCCAGGGAGGGTGGTCATGTCCTCTCGGGATGGCTGTGAGCATTACTTGAGACAAGGCTGATTTCAGTGCAGGAACAAATGGTGGCCAGCAGCGTGGCAGCTCTCCGCCCTGCCAAGCCGCCTGCCTCACACCCGCCGCCTAGGCTGGGCTGAGAGCTGCTCCTCCCACCGCCAACTCCTCTGGGAGGCGGGTCGACAGGGGCGTGGCTGGTGGAGGGGCGGAGCTTGCACGCCCTCGCCCTGGGCCTGTGATCCTGGCCAAAGGATGGGTGGGGTAGACCAGGTAAAAGCCAGTTCCCAGGAGTGCAGTGGTCTGGCCCACGGTCTTCCGCCCCCACAGGGGTGAAAGCAACAAGACCCTTAAGAAACGGGGTCTTTGCCCCGTCTTCTTGCGTCTTCTTGGCCTCTGCCCAGGTGGCCAGGACACTCGGACCTGCCTGTGACCTGCTGCCTGACCTGAAAACCAAGGCTAGCCCTGCAGACGTCAGCACTGATACTCCTGAGGGTTTTCTAGTAAAAGCATCCTGTCCCTCTCTGCCGTCTTTCTTCTAACTCATTCTTCCTCTAAAATGCACTTGTAGTGAAGTAGGTCAAGACTGAGTGTGTTCTTGGCACAGACGTTCAAGCAATACAAACGTCCGTGCTCCGGTTCGTGGGAGGCGCGGGCTCTGCCCGCCTGGCACCTGGGGCACCTGCCTCTGGTAGGACCTTGAGGAAGGAGTATCTGGCCCCCTCCCCGACTCCCAGCTCCCCCACGCAGAGTCCTCCCCCAGGGGACCAGGTTGGAGCGGGTTGTTCTTCGCTTTCCCTGGTTTCCATGCTCACCTTGGTGTATGCTCAAATACGGTCCCCTCCCTGACACAGAACACACAGGGCACCCTGTCACTGTTCCCTGATCACCCAGGGCCGGCTGGGAGTGTCTGCTGTTGCAACACGATCAGCAGCACCTGCAGAGCCCAGGAGACTTGGTCCTGGGGCTTTTGCTGACTACAAGGTAAGACACATTCTTGCCACTAGGACTGCCGAGCAGAGAGGGTACAAAGCAGCAGCCACTGGAGGCCTCTGCCTGCCAGAAACCAATGCCAGCAGGGGGAACAAAGTTGGGAGGCAGTGTCTGAATGGGCCTGATGGCAAACTGGCGCCTGGATCCAGCCATGCCTGAAGCTATCCTGGACTTCTTAGTTAAGGGGACTAAAGTATCTTTTTTTTCCCCTTGAAGCAAGATTGATCTGTGACTTGCCCCCGGAAGAATCCTGGCTCGAACCAGGTTCTTCGAGAAACCCAGCACCCAGGGCTCTTCGCCGAGAGGGGCGGGGAGCAGTACCTGCAGATGTGCACCTCGTAGCCCAGGTCCAGGGGGTCGTTGGGGGCCGTGCCGTCCTGGAAGTCGCTGACGTTGAAGGAGGAGAGGGTGTGGTTGACGAAGCCGTGCATGGTCCCGTTCGCGCTGTACATGTACAGGTACACCAGGCGGGGGATGAAGTCGGATGTGAAGGAGATCACGAACGCCTGAGGGGAGCAGCGGGGTGAGCGTGGGCCCCCCGGTGCGGGGCCTGGCCACGTGACCCGGCCCGTGAGTTAGCAATGTCATCAAAATGCCCAGGGAACAGACAGAGGCTCGGGGGCACTCCTATCAGCCCCCCTGCCGCCCGAGGAGCTGGGGACATATCGCCCCCTAGTGGGGAGGCTTGGGATGCAGGCTGCAGCCTCTTCCTGGCTCTGTGACCTTGACAAGTCCCCTAACTTCTCTGTACCTCTCTTTTCTTCTGGTCACACAGGGCTAACAACGCCCACTGTTCAATCCTCCTGCCTTGCTCACTTTGGAAAAAAAAGATTTTAAAATCGATTTTCAGAGAGAGGGGAGAGAGTTTAGAGAAACATGGATCAGCTGCCTCCTGCACGCCCCCTACTGGGGATCGAGCCCACAACCCGGGCATGTAGCCCTGATAACTGAACTGGTGCACAGGACGACGCCCAACCAGCTCGCCTTCCGGCTTGTTTGAAGGGAATGGGACAAGGAGGGGAAAGGACTCTGTAACTGGAGTTGGGAGCCAGCGCATCCTGTCCGGGAGCTGTCCCTGGGGGCAGCCAGCGTGGTGCTAATGTCAGAGCAGGGACCTGGCACCTGACCACCTGGGGCGAAGTCCAGCTGGGCCTCTCGCTGGCTGTGTGATTTGGGCAAGTCGCCTGACCTCTCTGTGCCTTGGGTGTCTCACCTGTAAGATGGGGTGATAACTCCCTGCCTCCGAGGGCTGTGTGCGCACTAGTGGGGGGGCGCACTGAGGGCCCTTAGGGGTCCTGGAATGTTCTAGATGCTCAATACACGTTAGCTGCCATCATTGGAGTTGCCACTGGTTGTTCCCAGGAGGCTGTTGGTTCCCAGGGGTTCCCAGCACCCCACCCCCATCGCCATGTGCCCTCAGCCAGGGCTCACTCCCTCGGGCCAGGATAAGGAGCCAGCCCTGTCCAGTGAGGCTGCCCACGGCCTCCTTGCACGGGGATCTCTGCAGGAGTGGTGGCCCCCAGCAGGGGGAGCAGTGTCAAGGGGCCTGAGGTCCCTGCTCCTGGGCCGAGCAGCACTTCCTGTGCAGTGGGGACCGAGTCCCCAGCCTCCCTGGGACCCTGACCCCGCCCCAAGCAGGCCTCCTGCCTGGGTGCAGTGTCAGCCTCCGGGGCCGGCTGGGCCAGTGGGTGGAGCGCAGAGGTCACAGGGTGACACCTGAGGCACTGCCTGGGCCCTTGCGTCCAGGATACAGCCCTGGGAGTCGAAGCGCCTGGGCGGGGGTGGAACAAGCAGACAGAGCTAAACCCGGGGGTGCACCTGGCCAGGAGACCATAGGGAAGACCGTGTGCAGTGATCGAGGGCCATGGCACTCCTAACCGCAGGTCAGAGGTGGGGAGGCGGGGAGGGTGGGGCGCAATGCCCTCAGCAGGCTGGGTGTGAGGGGGTGCCGGCAGGTCTCCCCCTTCTCCCTGTGTTTCAGCACTCCCCACACTTCTGAAGAACACGCGTGTATTTTATATAGAGGGCAAATTAACTATTCTTTTTTTTATATCCTCACCTGGGACATTTTTGCATTTATCTTCAGACAGAGCAGGAGGGAGAGAGGGATGAAGAGAGAGGAGAAACATTGACGTGAAAGGGACACATCGAGTGGCTGCCACCCGCACCACCCAACTGGGGCCAGGGACAAACTGCAACCGAGATACGTGCCCTTAGCAGGAACCGAACCCGGGTCTCTCTGGACCGCAGGCCGACGCTCTAACCGCTGAGCCAGAATAACTGCCTGTGAGGAATCTCTCTCAATGTCTCTCTGTCTCTGTCTCTCTTGTTTACTCTCAGGACGCTGCGAGAGACTGGACTTGGGGGTCCCGGTGGGCGTGGTGGAGAATTTCGCCCACGGCGGCCGAAAAGGTCGAGGAGAATTTGTGATTCCCGCCCAGAGCTCCCCACAACGTCTCAGCTCCGGCAAGGGACACTCCTGAAGAGGAGACGCCGCTGCAGCCTGGGGCCGCACGCGGCTGGGGGCAGAGCCGCCCCGTGTCCCGCGAGGGGCGACCAGCGGCCCGTGAGAGCCTCCGTCCGCCCGGCCGCGGTCACTTACGTTGATGATGACGGCCAGCTTCCCGACGCCTCTGAGGATGTTGTACCAGATTCCTGGGGGAGGGGAGAAGCACAGCGTTAAAGAGCCCCCTGCAGCTGGTCTGCGGACACGCTTGGCTCCTGCGGGTTCAGCAGTGGTTCGTAAGCAAATGGCAGCTTCTGAAGGAGGGGCTTAAGCACAGCTGGTCCCCACGCGCGAGCCGCCTCAGCCTGCTTACGTACTCGAGGGCTTAGGCGACAGCTTTCTTCTAGAAAGACACACTGGATTCGGGGCGCGGCTCCTGCCCCCGAGAGCTGCAGCAACGGCAATTCGAGCCCGCGCCCCTGAGGTCGGTGTCTAGAGCTGCCATGTAGTTCCTCCCCTCTGTCCCTACGTTTAGGGGCAGGCTGGTGAGGCCGGGTCCCGTCCTGGACAGAAGGACCATCTCCGGTGGCACTGTACCCGGAGAGGCCCCATCCGCCACGGGCCTCCCCAGCGCTGGGCCCAGGACGGAGGCGCCTCATCCACGGGCCCAGAGCAGGCCTGCTCGTTAGGGCCTTGCTGCTGTGAGTCATGAAAAGGGGCCCAGCGCCCCCTGCCTGACCCCCACCACGCCCTAACGAGTCCTGTCGGGCCAGGCACCCTGTGGCTGACCCCGTAGACGGGTGATAACCAGCTCTCCTCAGAAAGGGCGGGAGAGGACCAAGGCCCGTTAGTGTTCCTGCCACTACGGAAGAAATGTGGCAAGGTGTGGTTCCTGTGCCCAGTGCGGAGGCTGCTTCGGGCCAGGAAAGCAGTGAGCACCCCTCCTAGGCTCCGTGTTGGGGTGCATGCATGCCGGGGGTCTGCAAAGACACGCGTTTAGGCCTACGTGACCCAGAAGCTAGAAACCACAGGCTTGGCGGCAGCACCAAGGTCAGCGTGTGAGGTGCCTCCTCCAGTGCACCTCTGCCATTCCGGGGACACGGAGACCCATCCCAGCCCGGCCTGGGACAATTCTGACAGCAGCAATGAGCGCCCCGGCAGACCCTCTTCTGCTGGCCATGCCTCACCGGCCGTCCCTGAGCCATGACTTAATTACTGTGAGATACAGGCTGGTGGTGGCTCTGTCTGGTCTTCCCCGAGAGCAGGGCCACGGGGCGACCCCACTGCCCCGTGGCGGGAGAGCCTGCTCGGGACTGCCCTGCCCTCTTCCCGAGGTCCAGCTGCGCGGCCTGCGCCTAGGCCCCTGAGCTGGGCCGTGGGCACAGGGAAGCCGGGGCAGGTGGGCGGCTCCGAGTAGGGCTCCCTCTGGGGGCAGCACCGGGTCTGTGGCCCGGCGGGTGACTGGCCCAGTGATCCCAGAAGGGTGACAGCAGGGAGCCGGTGGGCCAGCCAGAGCTTTCCAGAAGTTGGGAGCTAAGCCTGTCCTGCCGCAGTGTCTTCACGGGGTGGCCGGGGTCCTCTGTATAACCCCCACACTGGAATTACGGGGTCATGCTTAGAAAGTGCAAAACCGGAGCACCAGACCCGCCTCTCTGGGCACCTTGCCTCTCCCCACAGGTGCCGGGCCACGCTCCACACTGGGAACCGCCCACGGCTCCGCTACCCCCAGGGGCCTGGGGCCAGGGCTATGTTCTCGTAAAAGGTAAAAACCGCCCTGGCCAGTTCAGCTCAGTGATTAGAGCGTCGGCCTGCGGACCAAAGAGTTGCGGGTTCGATTCTGGTCAAGGGCACGTACCGTGGGTGCGGTGCGATCCCCAGCCCTGGTTGGGGTCGTGCGGGAGGCAGCCAATCAATGTGTCTCTCTGGCATCGTTGTCTCTCTCTCTCCCCCTGCACCCCCCCACCCCCCGCTCTATCTGAAAATAAATGGAAAAATATCCTCGGGTGAGGATTAAAAAAATAAATAAATAAAACTCTCTGGGCTTCCTTCCTGAAAACCTCGCTGGGGGAGCTGCCTCCTCCAAGGCACCTCTGCCATTCCAGGGACACGGAACCCCATTTCCGAGAACGCGACAGGTGTCCAGTCACCCCTGACCACACGCAGGGCCCGAGGGCTGAATGCAGGCAGAAGGGGGCTACCCCGAGGCCCTGCAGAAAGAGGCTGAGAGCAGGAAGCGTGCTAATCTGGTGTCAAAGGTCAGGCCTGGGAAGCTGAAGCTGGTTCCCACACGCAGGGCTGGGTCCCCTGCGGCGACACGCCACACCCCCTCCGTGCCCAGGCAGGGCCGTCGAGGTGCTGTGCCTCTGTGGCAGAGCCTCCCCAGACGCCCCGCCCCTGGGTGCGGGTCGCGGGGCCACTGGGGCCCCCAGTCCCCTCGGAGCCCACACGGATCACAGGAGGAGAACAAAAGCCTCTTCTGGAGAAGGTAACTGCGAAGGCCCCGTGGACACACCTGTGAAAGGGGCAGCTCATGCCTTCGCCCAGCCATACAGGAAGCAGGAAGTGAGCGGTGATCCGCGAAGACCAGGCGAGAGCCAGCAGCCGGAGCAAACGCCCACGGCCTGCGCCCAAGCCCTGCCTGGCGGGAGCAACGGCCCTGGAGGCCGGAGGCCGCCCCAGGCTCCTCTCACCCTGGTGGGTTTGCAGGTCGCAGGCGTGGCCGCAGGGGACAGCCAGGGCTCTGCCAGGCAAAGGGTGCCAAAGCAAACACCCGCCTGCCTCGGGCTGGCCGGGGCCTCCAGGTGCCAGAGAATCGGGCCTTTGTAAGGAACAGGTGGCAGGGGCCACGCTGTTCTCTTTATTGCCACTGGGGCGGCTCCAGGTTTCCCTGGGACTGTCCAGGGCGCCGGCGGCCACCCCGCTGCCCCTTTCGAGGCCTCTGGTGCAGCATAAGCGTCTCGAGGGGACCCTCTGCTCATGGCGGTGTGTGGCTCTGGCAGCCACCTGGCCGCTGTCTGCCCTTCTGGAGAGTGGGACCCAGGATCGGGCCCTGGTCGGTGTTCAGAGAGGGTGCGGTGTGCCCACGAGAGGTCTGCTCGATGCCCCGTCTCCAGAGGGAACTGTGAACACGGCCGGCTTCTCATTTTAAAGTGGGAGGAAAACGGGAGAGGCCTGGCTGCTCCACCTTGAGGACGTGGTCCAGAGACGGAGACGCCGAGCTGGACCCGTGGCGGAGGTGGGGGTGGGGCCGAGGAGGCCAGTCAGGGCCAGAAGGCCCTCGGAGGACCCGCTAGTTCAAGGGCTTGACATCTACAGGAACTCTTACAGGGCAGCCCAGTAGGGGGCGTCTGTGCTCAGAGTCCTCACTGACAGCGAAAGGGTCACAACACAGGGTGGTGGCCGCCCCTTGAGTCCTGGCTCCGAGGTCCCTCCCTAAGGAAAGCCACGGTTCCCAGGCTCCTCTCAAAGCCGGGCCTGTGGGTCTTACCACGGATCCCACAGCCCAAAGGTGGGGATACACGTGGACCAGACGAAATCGCCAATACAGGACCACGTCTGAGCTATGAAGACAGCAATTCCATCCAGTTCAACCTAAGAGATCACGCCTGTGACGGAAGCTGGAGTCCACGCCATCTCGGAGGTGGACGGTGGGGGTGGCGGGTCTGGCCACCACTGGTGGGTCAGTTGGCCAGCAGAGGCCCAGCCACGCAGGGCCAGGGCAGGAATGGCATGGTCAAGAGGCATTTCCAAAGAAGGCGGAGGAACACCTGGTGGGGCTGACAGAGCCCAGAATTTTAGCAATATCATGTCTGGGCCACGAAATGACTGATTAACGGATCCCTCTGTGGTAAGGCCCTGAAGGTGTCCCGTCACACTGCTATCCTGCCTGTATTTTGGTAAAATGACAACATCTCTCACATGCAATTCAGTCTTTCTTCATTTCAAGAATTAGCCCCGAAGAGCTGTCCCCAATTGCGTTAAATAGGAGATAAACTGAAAACACGTTTGTAATTCTCTATCTCATTTCAAGATACACTCCTGATACTTTTTTTTTTTCACCCAAAAACTGGGCCACATTTTCAGGGGTTGAGTTTAAGATAAGGCGGGCAGATGCTCGGGGTGGGCTGGCTCCGGCTGGGGTACAAGGGGCTATGAGCCCTGCCCCTCCAGGTCCCCACTTCCCTCACCACCCTTGGACAGAAGGGCATCTACAGCTGCTTAAATGCCTCTGGTGACAGGAAGCTCACTACTCCACAAGGAAGTCTGCTTTCTTTTTGACACCTCGGACGGTTAGAAAGGTATTCATTGTGCTAACATGAAATGTGGCACCCCCAAGGCCCAGTCTCTCACCCACATGGATGAGGAGCCCCTTAAAAACTTCAGGTTAAAAAGCCTGCGCTGGCCGGTTTGGCTCAGCGATTAGAGCGCTGGCCCACGGATCAAAGAGTCATGGGTTCGATTCCGGTCAAGGGCATGTACCTCAGTTGGGGTTTGGTCCCTGGCCTAGGTCGGGGTTGTGTGGGAGGCAACCAACCAATCAATGCCTCTCTCTCACATTGATGTTTCTCTCTCTTCCTCCCTCCTTTCCACTCTATCTAAAAACCAGTGGAAAAATATCCTGGAGTGAGGATCAACACACACACACACACACGCACACGCACACGCGCGTGCACACACCCACATGCGCACACGCACACACGCGCATAGAAAAAGCCCGGGCTGTCTCTGGGCTCCTACGGACAATGCTGTTTCTTCATCAACGGAAGGGGACATCTCTCTTCTTCTTTCTTTCTTGTGGACATTAAATGATTAAATGATACCCTACGTAGGAAGGCCCTTGTTAAGCAGCTAATCTGAGCTTCCCCATTGTTCTTGCTGTGTCCTGGGGGTGGGGGTGCACACAAATGCCCTGCATGGGGAGGGATGCTGGGGACCATCGAGGGGAATGCAGCTCGGGCACCTCCGAGGCAGTGGATGGCTGAGACATGTCGGGACCAACTCTTCCCGTCTCGTAGCCGACACAGCTCAGAAGTTAGGAGGTCCAGGTGGGGAGTTGGGGTGATGGAGCCCCGGGTCTCGCATCACCCCTGTCCCGAGTCTCTGAGTATCCCTCCAGGCCAGGTGCAGTGAGGAGCCCGGGGGGACCTCACGCGTGGCCCCACTTTGCCGGCTCCGGCTTCAGCAGAGCAGGGCCCCTCCCCCGGACCCAGCAGGTGCTCAGAACCCGCCCTCGCCGGTCACTCACCGATGTCTTTGGCTCTGACGGCCACGGGCCTGCGCAGCTCGGTGATGAACTTCTTGGCGTCCAGGCGGATCTCAATGATGTTATTCAGTAGGGCGAACAGCGGGGCCAGGGGGAAGGAGGCCACGAACAGGGTGACGAAGCCAAACTGGATGACTGCGGAGAGAGGGAGGCCGTCAGCCCGCACCATGCCCGCCTCCCGCAGGGCCCACCGCCCCACCAGCCTCCAGAGCCGAGGACTCTCTGGTCAGCGCCCTGCCTCCTGCGTGCTCCCTATAGGACGGCGGCCCGGGAGTGTGATCCTTGAACAACGGGCATGTGCTCACGGATCACATGTTTAATCTTAAAAAATAACACACGATGATGTTGAACACAAACTGTACTTGAAAAGTTTAACAAAGCATTCATGGTGGGAAAAGGGCCCTGTGGGCTCCAAGGCCTGGCCTCAGTCATTGTGTCTGGTCTGGGAAGGACCTCGCAAGAGGCCCTAATGCTCCCACCAGCAGAGGTTCCTGGACTTGGGGGGCCTGCCAGCATCTCCGAGAGCCCCCGCCGCCGCCTTCCATGGGGCCTCGGGAGCCGGGCAGGGGCCACTGTCTGGGACAATGTTGCCTCACGACCCTCCCTCCCTCGGCGGCTTTGCCAGGACGCAGCAGCCAGCTCAGGGCCGGCCACCAGGAGAGGACAGGAAAAGGCTCAGGACACAGTGGGGCTGCTGGTTCAGGAACTGCCCGACCAACAGGGCCCGGCCAAGGCACCCTGTGCCAGGCAGTAAACAAGGAAGCGACACAATGTCTCCGTGTGTCTGGTCAACTGAGTGTGGCCATTGTTAGCACAGCGGGTGGGGGGCTCCATGTGGGACGCTGGTCCTGTCTGAAGGCTGTGGGGGTGACAGGGGCCCTCAGATAAAGTCGGATGTGACAGGGACCCTGGGACAGGCTCAGGATGTGGCCCGGCGGGGTGCTGAGGCCGAGGCTGTGGGTCCCCCACTCCTGCTGTGACGGGCCAGGGATGAGGGAAGCTGGAGCCGGGGTGGGCTGGGCGGGGGCGGGGCCTTTCCTTCCTGTGCACGGGCACCTGTGTGCTCTGTGCCCAGCCGAGTCGGCCTGGAGGGGGCGCGGGCGGCGGGTGTGGCAGGGTGACAGCCGCGCTCAGAGTGCTCCCTGGACGAGCGGAGGGGGAAAGAGGTCTGGGAGACCCACACAGAGGGGTCCCAGCGTGGCGTGCCCCTGGCCACCACCGCAGCTACTGAACATGCTGGTTTCCTGGCCCATCCTCCGTCTGCGCTGGGACTGGGGCTTTTCAAACAAAGCCCCGGGCAGACACCGCCCGAGTGTTCCGCCCTGGCGAGGCGGCGCGGGGCAGGGCGACCTGGGGGTGGGGAGGTTTCTGTTTTACTGCAGGCCTCCCTGTGCGCCGGGGCCCACATGCTCCATATAAGTCGCTCCCAGCTTCCCAGTGCAGGGTGGGGCACGGGCAGCCGTTCCTGGGGTGGGCAGGAGGAGCCTGTCCCAGGATCTAATTTCATCAAACCCAGGGGAACGTGGGACTGGACCTCTGGCCATCACAGAATAAAAGTCTGGGGAGCGACCCCAGTCTCTCAGCCCCTCACAGCAGGCTGCAGGCCGGGGCCCTCCTCCCAGACCCCACGCCCAACAGCCCACCTGCCTCTGGAGAAAATACAGAGTGTCATCCAAACATTGTTTCTTTTTTCTAAGCCTCTAGGTTATTCTCCTTCGGAGGCAAAGGCACGCTGGAGAGTGGGGAGCACTCGTAGGGGCCAGCTGGGCCCCAGGACACAGGGAAGGCTCGCAATGCGAGGACACAGGGCCCCCCCCCCCAGGGGCGCTGGCCCCGCACGGCCTCACCACGGCACAGCAGTGCCTGGCTGCTTTCGCCCAGGGGTTTGCTTTAAAAGCCACAGTCCCAGGTCTTGCCCGCACAGACCAGGGATGGGCCAGGGAGCCAGCATTAAAAACAGAAATCCTCACCGGAGGACACGCCTCCATTTATCTTCAGATAGAGTGGAAGAGAGGGAGAGAAACATCGATGTGAGAGAGACACATCACTGGCTGCCTCCCGCACAACCCCAGGGCTGGGGACTGCAACCGAGGTGCATGCCCTTGACCGGAGTCGAACCGAGACTCTGGTCCGCGAGCCGACGCTCTAACTGCTGAGCCACACCAGCCAGTGTGGAACCAGCATGTTAAATCGGCGCTCCGTGGTGGCGGGGGCGCCCCACGCTGGGGCCCTGCTTTCCCTCATCCCTTTGTTCGGCAAACACCCACGCAACACCCGCTGTGTGCCTGGACCCGTTCTCGGGACAGCGGTGTGCTGGAAAGGGACCGTGTCGGCGGGTGATGGGAGCCATGGAGAGGGGGGCAGAGGGGACTGACTGCAGGGGAGGGGCTGCCCCCTTCAACACTGGTCAGGGGGACCTCTGGGTGGACATTTGGAGCCGAGCCCTGGGGACGGGGAGAGGGAGTCATGCAGGTATTAGGGGGAGAGCATTCATTCCCGGCACTGAGCGCAAGGGCGGTGGCCATCTGCATCTGGGTGACAGGGGGCGGCCTGTGCGGCCTGGGCCCAGGGGGTGGGGGAGGCAGACAGGGTCGGGGGGGCTCCAGGTGGCTGCCCCGGGCTGCACCTGGCCTCTTCCCACCTGCCCCTGGCTCCGCCCCGAGAGCCAGGCGCCAGCCCGGCCATCCTGCCCGCCGTGCTCACTCATCTCCATGTACTCCGGGGTGAGGCCCGCGAACGGCTCCAGCGTGAAGTCCGCCTCGTACCGCTGCTTGCGCTTCGCGTACTCCTCGTGGTCCGCGGGGCTCCGGCGCTTCAGCCGCAGGTAGCGGACGAACTTCTTCATCTTCCTGAAACAACGCGGCCCTCGTCAGGGCGCCCGGAGGGGCTTTCGGGGGCGAGGGTCTGCGCGAGCCCGCTGCGACTCGGAGCCACCCCCTGTCCACCCCGAGCTGTTGCCTCGTCCCCCACTGCTCTGGTCATGACCCCCTTTGCCCTTCCCCGCCGAGGCAGGGGTCAGGTCATCGCTTCGCTCGTGACCGAAGGAAGAGGCGAGGGGAGGGCGACGGTCACCTGAATCTTAGCCCTGAGGGTGTCGGGCTCGGGCCTGCCCAAGGGGGACCCGGGAGGGTGGAGAGAGAAAGCAGATCATGGAGCCTTGAAGGGCGATGGGGACACAGTTCCTGAAGGATGCTGGGTAAGGGGCACAGCCTGCACCCGCCAACCACAGGAGGCAGCACACAGGTTTGGGGCGCCCGCTGGTGCACCGCATCCCCAGCCAGTCAGGGAGCAGAGGGTCACCGGCCTCCTCCCCTCCACCACGGGGTGGCTACTGCTCTGTCCTCCCACCTCCCTGTGTTGGGCACCCCGTCCTGGCCCAGGCCCGACACCCCCGTTCCCTCTGCCCATGGCCCGGTGGTACTCACAGGGTGCCGGCACCCCAGCCCCTCTGCCCGCGGCCCGGTGGTACTCACGGGGTGCCGGCACCCCCATGCCCTCTGCCCGCGGCCCGGTGGTACTCACGGGGTGCCGGCACCCCCATGCCCTCTGCCCGCAGCCCGGTGGTACTCACGGGGTGCTGGCACCCCAGTCCCTCTGCCTGCGGCCCAGTGGTACTCACGGGGTGCTGGCACCCCAGCCCCTCTGCCCGCGGCCCGGTGGTACTCACGGGGTGCCGGCACCCCCATGCCCTCTGCCCGCGGCCCGGTGGTACTCACGGGGTGCCGGCACCCCCATGCCCTCTGCCCGCGGCCCGGTGGTACTCACGGGATGCCGATCTCGAACAGGTTGTTCTGAATGAGCTGCTTGCCCAGCATGATGATGCTGAGCTGGATGCAGAGTTCCATCAGGCAGCCCCCGGGGGCACACTGTGGGGGAGCAGGTGCGTGAGCCCCGCCCGCCCGGACCCAGAGAGAGGACGGCAGCCCCCAGGGCGGGGAGCTCGGCCCTCACGGGGTGGGCTGGGCTGTGTCCTCTGCAAAGATAGGTCTACGGCCTAATCCTGGAACCTCAGAATGGGACCTTATTTGGAAACAGGGTCTTTGCCGATGTGACCAAGTTAAGATGAGGTCATACGGGAGCAGAGTGGGCGCCGGTCCAACCACTGGTGTCCTTATAAGACGCGGAACACAGACACCCAGGGAAGGCCGGAGGCAGCCGGAGGCAGAGGTCGGAGCGTGGCGTCTGCATCGAGGGAGCGCCAAGGAGGCCCGCGGCCACCGGAGCTGGGGGAGAGGCCTGGGAGAGGCCTCCCTCCGGCCCTGGGCAGCAGCGTGGCCCGCCGACGCCTGCTTTCGGACATCTGGCCTCCAGAACCGTGAGAACCCGTTTCTGTTGTTTTGAGTCTCCCAGGCTGTGGTCACTTGTCGTGGCCCCTGGAGAGCGAGGGCGCCTGGCTGCAGGCTGTGGGGCTGGGACCGGGCTCAGAGAGGGAGCACACAGCCGGGGTGAGCCGTGCCGGGGCTGGGTCTCAGGCTCCCTCCTCCCCAAGGCCAGTGCCCCGTCCCTTGCACCTGCTGCCTGTCCGCAGACCCTGCGCGGCCACAGCAGGCCGGGGCCATGCAGTTGGGAAGCCGGTGGTGAGACAGCCAGCCACCTCTTTGAGGCTAACACCCATGTCTTCAGTGGACTTGTCTGAGCAAACAGAACTCGGGGGACACTGGGTGACCCCCTGAGAACAGATGACCCCTCTCTGAGTCCCTAGCAAATCTTTTTATACGGTTACCAAAAAGTTTACCTTGCAGAACCATTTAGAAAAACAACAGTGATGTCCTTTGCATTATTTATTCCGCAAAGGCACGTCCCCAACTTCTCCGAACGTTAAAGAGTTCGACAGGGTGGCATCTAGGTAGTGGGCACGTCACAACGAGAGAGCACCCTCTGAGCTTTCAGCAAACACCCGTCACTGGGGATGAAGCCTGTGTCTTGGGATGTTTGGAGGCTGGCACTCAAGTGGCTGACTGGAGGCTGTGCCCAGGCAGCCAGGTCGCCCCGTACCTGATGTCCACCCCAGTCTCCTCTACCCTGTTTCCCAGGGTCTTTATCAGGAAGACACATCCCCTTATTTTCCAATAAGCCGAATTATTCTGGAAGTTGGAAATGCCGACCAGTTCCCCCGAGACCTGAACCTCCGCCAGGCTCGGAAGCCCCAGCCTGGTCTGGGGCCGGCACGCAGTGGCAGAGGGCAGTGGGCGTCCTGACGAGGCCAGAACACTGAGTCGAAGCCCAAGGTCACCAACACTGTGTTTGGGAGGGGAGAGAAGTGGGCACTTGATGTTAAAGTGAAAAAAAGGGAGCTGGCTACGGTTTCTTCCGCATTTGAACCAAAGAGAAAAACATTCAAGGTCCGATAGAAAAAGGAAAAAAAAAAAGCTGGCGTCGTTATTTCATTTCGCTGTCTACAAAGAGAGACCCTCTCCTTTAGGGCAGTCTGGTATGGACACCCCTAATGCTATCAAACTGGGTCTGCCATCAGGGGAGAGAGGGGCTCCCCTGATGAGGAGCTGGGGGGCACTGTGCACTCAGATGGGGGCGGTGACAAGTGGGACCTCCTCACCTCTTCCATGCGGAAAGATCGGAAAATGTACACGTAGTCGCCCGGGCGTCCCACGAACCTGCAACAGGTGGGAGGAGTTAGAGAGCAGAGACCCTGCTCCAGGAGGCCCTGGGGGGTGTGGGGAGGGGGAGGGGGAGGGGGAGCTGAGCTGAGATTCCCTAAGTTGCGGCCTTGAGCATATATATATGGGCTTCTCCGTGCCTGTCCCATCAGCTAATAAATGACCCCGGGGTTTTCTGTTGGTCCAGTGTTCAGGTGATTCCCCAACCCGTGTGGGCTAAGACACGTGACGGGCAACCAAGTGGCTGAGAGGGGACAGGAGGGAGCCCAGGAGGGGACGAGGGATAAACTACCACTCGCCATGGTAAGGCCATGGAGCCCTCAGGGACCTGGGACAGGCTGGGGTGGGGGTGGCCCCTGGGGGACATGGGGGCTGGGGGCCTCTGAGGGCCTGTCCCACTGTCACGGGGCCTGGACCCCTGAGACCCTGGGGAGGGAGCACAGACTCGGGTCCTGTAGGTCACATGATGCCGAGGAAGGGGCCTTGGGGGGCTCTGGGATCTGCAGGCCCAGCAGGAAGGGTGGTGGGGGTCTTGGTGTGTGGGCCATAGGCCCCTCCAAGCCCAGGACGATTCCAGAGGGGCCAGGCACGGGGTTCACCCTGGCACCAGCCTGAACATTGAGCAGCTGCATCAAGCAGCCTCACAGTCCCCCCCAAGCCGCACCCTCCTGAGTCCCTCGGACCCGCAGCACCTGGAGCTCACTGCCTGGGGTCCTTGTTCTCTGGGGGCCCCAGGGTCCCTGCTGCTGGGGTCCTTGTTATCTGGGGTCCCCGCTGCCCAGGGTCCCTGCTGCCTGGGGTCCTTGTTATCTGGGGTCCCCGCTGCCCAGGGTCCCTGCTGCCTGGGGTCCTTGTTATCTGGGGTCCCCGCTGCCCAGGGTCCCTGCTGCCTGGGGTCCTTGTTATCTGGGGTCCCCACTGCCCAGGGTCCCTGCTGCCTGGGGTCCTTGTTATCTGGGGTCCCCGCTGCCCAGGGTCTCTGCTGCCTGGGGTCCCCGCTGCCCAGGGTCCCTGCTGCCTGGGGTCCTTGTTATCTGGGGTCCCCGCTGCCCAGGGTCTCTGCTGCCTGGGGTCCCCACTGCCCAAGGTCCCTGCTGAACGGGGTCCCTGACCCCTGAGGCTCCTGCTGCCTGGCACCCCTACAGGAACAAAGACTCCCCCAGAACTCAGTGGCAGTGAGCACCACACTGACTGTCTGTCCTGGGCTGAGGTGCCCCAACTGCAGGACACAGGAAGGGGAGCCTCCCAGGGGGCTGGGAGGAGCAAGTGGGGCAGAGGCAGCGGGTGTCAGCAGCTGAAGGGGTCCCTACCGGCCTTTGAAGAAAGCCACGTAAAAAATGGGGGTGTAGGAATTGACAAACTTCAGCAGGAAAGCCTTGAAGATCAGCCTCTCTTCGAAGTTCTTCTCAGTCTTCGGGACCTCTGGAGGGAGCGAGACGCACCCGCTGAGTGACTCCGCTCCGCTCAGCGCCCACGGGGCCGGGGCTCAGCGGCGTAGGTGACCAGCCCAAGTCCCACAGCGGGAGGGAGGTGGCTCGGGGCTGCTCGGCTCCGGGCTCGGCCGAGGACCACGGTGGCCTGGGATGTGGGCGCTCACCGATCTTGGTGAGCCACTTGGCTATGCAGCCGTAGACCTCGTCCAAAAGGATGATGACCACCAGGTTGATGATGACCGCGGTGGCCGTGACCGTGACCCGGATGTTGGACCGCACGGACGGGGAGGAGTTCATGGCCAAGGCGGCAGCCGTGGAGATTCTGTAGATGATGACGCCAAGGACGATGGCGAAGGTCACCGCTATCTACAGAGGGAGGAGGGGACCCCTTGGCTGGGCCACCTGGGTCTCATCGGACCTCAGCCCAGCTCCCCCCACAGCCTTCTGCATCCAAAGGGAGACAGCGTGTCCAGCGATTTGTGGCATTAACTTCACAGACACGAACTGATTTCGTTTCTGTCTTACAGAAGATCAGAGGTCAGGTCACCAGGCCAGGTCACCCAGCACACAAGCTGGATTTACCAGCCCTGGCCTGTGCGGCTGCTCCCCCGAACCCGGGGACTGAGGGGAAGCAGTGGTGTTCTCGAGAGGAGCCCGGTGTGGGTTGGGCTGGTGCTGCGGGCCGGGCTGGGACAGTCCGACTGGGTCCCTTCTCTCAACCTCCCCGGAGCCACCAACACCCCTCTGGCTTGTCCCCAAGAGGGAGCCCTCATCTTGCCAAACCCATTGTTGGACTGGAACGTTCCACGGAGCTCGGGCTGGCGCTTGCCTGAGAGACGGGGCCGGGAGCTGCGCTACAAGCCTGTTCCGTGCGGAGCTGCCTGTCTGGCTGGGCTATTTCCTTTTCTTCAAAGACCCCAACTCAACCGAGAAGAGCCTGTCCTCACCCCGTCCTGCCCCGGGGTGAGGCCCCAGCACACCCCAACCCCGGGGACACACCGCGGGGTGCAGGCTCCATGCTCTCCCTGCATCCTCCCGTGACCTCACACATGTATTCTCATTAAGGGTGCGGAGGGCGGGCCCGGCCCTGCTAGGAGGGTCCCTCGAGGCTCGTGGGGCGTCCCGGAGGCCTGGCCACGTGCTGTGCGTCTGCAGCGTGATTCGCCCGAGGGGACACCACGGCCTCCGGTCTCCTAGGAAAAAGCTCTTGTTTTGAACTTTGGGCCAGTAACTCTGCTTCTGCTGGTGACTAAAGGGTGACCACACCCTGCCCAAGAAAATGTCCCTGGCCACACCACACCCTGATGAAGGGGTGGCCCCACGGGGAGGTGTGGGGACCGCTCCCTGCCAGCTCTGGGAACAAGGGCTTTCCCTGGAAAATCCCTGGCCCCTGCCCAGCGCCCCTCCCCGGGGAGGCCCCGCCCGGCCTTGGCCATGCCCTAGTGCCAGTGTGGAGGTGCAGACAGGGCGCGGGCCCGCAGGGTGACTCAGCAAGCCCCCCCACCCCCAGCCAGAGCACTGGCATGTCCCCATCATAGGCAGGCCCTGTGGCAGTCCCCCTTCCTGGGTACAGTTCCCCTCTGGAAAGAAGGGGCGACCAGGGCCAGGGTCTGGCTGGTGTGCCCACTCAGTGTCTCTAGGACCAGGAACACAGGGGCACAGCACAGGGGCTCAACAGAAATCTGCTCAGTGAATGGAGCTCCTGAGGGCAGGACGAAACTCACTGAGTCCTCTGATGGGGCCAGCTCCGTCCCTGCCCACTACCCCGCCTTTGTCCCCCCCCCCCCCCCCCCCCCCCCCGCAGACAGCAGTGGCCGTGTGAAAGGGTGTAACCTCTGAGACGCAGGCAGAGGTGGTGGGCTGGAAGCCTTTCTCCTGCCTGAGAAGTGGGGTGATGTTGGAGGTGGAGCAGCCACGCTGAGGCCAAGAGGAGGCCCAGGAAGGCCCGAGAAGCCGGTGTCCGATGGCATTGTGGGTTACCAGACCAGCCCAACACGGCCACCTCCTCACTTTGTATTGCTCGAGGAACTTAAAGCTCCCTGGGAGACCCTTCAAGGAAGTGACCCGTAGCCCAAGGCCCCTTGCTGTGGTGCGGAAGGGCCCTGCCGCCACCCCTCGCGGTCCTTCTGCCAGGTCCTGTCTCCCGCACCCTGTCCCCTGCGAGGCGAGCCCAGGGGAGCCCCGGGTCAGGACCACGTTGCCCTCAGGGGGTCCCCCAGCACCAAGCCCAGTGTCTGCCCAGAGGGGACACTCCTCTGTGTTTGGGGCGTGTGCTCCAGGGCCCCTGGAACGAGGCTGGAGCTCAGAGTCACGGGGGAGGCACAGCAGCCCTGCCAGGGTTTCTTCACATTAGCCGACGTCCCCCTCTTCCCGTGGGAAACTAGTCCCACTCTGCTAATGACAGACTTGGGGGCCCTGACCTCACCCCAACCTGGAAAACCAAGACAAGCCCCTGGCTCCCTAGCTCCAAGTCCCTGCAGAACTGCGGACTCTCGGGCGTCTGGCCCCAGTGGCGTCCAGCCCCAGCCCCTGCTGGCTGGTGGCCTGGGGAGGGCCGGACCTCCGGCCTCAGTCTCCTCATCAGCTGCTGGGGGTTGGTCTCAGGGCAGGGAGGGCTGAGTGAGCTGCTCCCTGTAAGGCCCTCAGGCCAGCTGGGCGCATGCTCAGCCCTCGAACCCAGGGCCCCTGGCAGCCAGGCCACAGGGTTGTGGGTTTTCCCAGGGCTGGACAAGGGGACAGCCATTCCTTCAGTGACCACAGGCGGCCTGACCTGCCGGGGATGGATGCCGTCCCGGCAGGAGGTGCGTCGGGGTGGGACTAAAAGCCGCACAGAGAGCTGAGGTGTGGCCGAGCCACTCAAACCAGCAGTGCCCTCAGTCACCTGAGTTGAACGGCCCTGACTTTTGTCCTGTCTGCGCAGTATTTATTCAATCATTTTCTTTAAAAACCTCAATTTGTTTTAAATGCTCTCTGTGAGATCTGGGTTTGGATGGCCAGTTACTGTCACGATGAAAGAAAACCATCTCGTGGGCCCCAGAGCATGCGGAGCCCCCCTTGGGGTCACTGGGGAGCCCTGGCGCCTTCCCATTCCAGGGGCACCACCCCCCGTGAATGCACCTGCCCCGGTGACGGCCGATCTGGGTCCAGGTGCCGGTTCCCTGATGTCTTCCCCTCCGCCTTCCAGAACTTACCATGAAGACAATGGACACCAGGTTGGTGAAGTAGGCTGGGAAGCGGTCTCTCCAGGTCAGCTTCACCTTGTCGGTCTACAACACACAACAATGCTGGGTCACCCGTGGGAGCCAACACGGTGGGGCGAAGTGTGTGCGTGTGTGTGCGTGCGTGCGTGTGAACTTGGACAACAGAAATACTTAGAAACACCTTTTAAAAAACACCTGTGGGTGAGCAGTGACTGCAGACAGCTGGGGTCTCGTGACCAGGGAATGACGTCACATACGGAAATAACAGCCGTTTAAAACGGGCTGCTCTGAGTCAGAACAACGTGGAGCACCTCCCTGAGTGGGCCACCCGCCCGCGGCGCGGGGAAGCCCGTCTGGAGCCCGCTGCTCTGGCTCTGGGTCTCACGTCTACGGCGAGGAGCCCTGAGAGTCTCGCCCTCCGCCGCCCAGACCATAATAGTTATTTTCCTTCTGCACAGCAAGTGGCAACAAGCAGCTCACACGACAAGTCCTAACGCTCTCTGCCGCGGGGACAGCGGACCGCGGGGACGCGCGGCCTGCCGCTCTCCTTCGGGAGAACCTCCCAGAGGAGCTTGTCACTAACCTGAGACGTTTCAAGGCCCGGGGTGGGCTTTTCAAGGGGAGGATGTGAGCACTGGGTCACACAGTGCCGCCGAGGACACGGCACAGCGGGACGCGGGCTCCCGGGAGGACATGCGTGTTAATGAGAAGACCGAGGACCGCGGGCGGGCGGGCGGGCAGTGGGGACAAGCAGGGCTCACGAGCGCCCCCCGCCCCCCGGTAGCCATGCAGCGACACCGCCACGCACATCACAGCCCGCCGGGTGCGGCAGGAAGGCGAGGAAGCACGGGTGTGATGTTACAAAACGCAACAAAAGCCAACACAAAAGTCAGAGTTCGCTGAGGAGGACAACGCTAGGACTCTGGTCGTCACGCACAGTCAAGACTCGCAACGCCCCGAAACAGAAAAGTACCAATTTCACCCCTGCCATGGCTGTCTTAACCCTCTGCTTCCATTTGTTTGTTGACTCTTCTGGAATATTCCGGTGCTTCTAAGGGGGGGAGGGAACAAGAGAGCACCTCGGGGTGAGGTGTGACCGAGGCCAGGCTGCCGTCATGCCCTCGAGGTGCTGGCTACCAAGGCTGATCCAGGGAGAGCAGGCAGAGACCCCGTCCTGGAACGCGGGTCAGGGGACGCAGACAAGGTCTCCCACGGCAGGGTCTGTGACGCCCAGCTCACACTGAGCCGGGGTGACTTCTCCAGAGGAGGCCACACCCGGAGTCCTGAGTTGGTGCACCAACGAAGGGTGGACTGTGTTCTTCCTAAACGAACTGGGTGCCACACCGGAGGGGAAGTCAGAGCCATACCGAAGCCGCTGGCCGCCGCTGGCAGGAGGAGAAAGTAAAGGGCGGGGCCCGCCGGAGGCGCACGGACCTGGGGACCTGGCGCGGCCTGTAGAGAGGACCCCACACCTCGTTCTCATGTGACCAACGGTCTCTGGTCAAAGCCAAGAGGTGGAGTGACTGGGCATCTGAGGGGTGCTCCTGGCACCCACCCAGACCCACTGTCTGGGGTTAGTTGAGCCCACAGGCCATAGAGAGCCCCGAAACTCAAACCGGCTATGTCCCAGGCCTCACCGCATGAGCCCGACGAAACAGAGCCGCTGATTTTGAGGCTGAAAATGTCGTGTGGCCCTCGAAGGATGTTACAAATATTCACACGGCCCTGGGCAGAGAAAGGTTCCCCACTCCTGACTTAAGTGGGCGGGGCGTGTGCCTCGAAGCCTCCCTTCGGAAGGACGGCAGGACCTACCCACGCGCACGCTGAGGTGCCGCTGTGAGCCAGGGGTGGACTGTCCCGGGCCACCCCCAAACACATGCTGGGCCGGGGGCACTGCACTGAGCACACAGGGGGTTTCAAAGGCATCAGTACCCATGCCTCTCCCCTTAGGGGGTGACAAGGCCCAGAAGGGGTCAAGGAGCCATTCCAGGCCTCTGCTGTCTGCTCAGGGGGGCCACATGCCCTGGGGTGTCAGATCTTCTGATCTAGCTAACCAAAGACAGGCTCCTGATTTGGCGTGGTGACTCACGCTTTTGTGGTTATTCTCTCTGTACCCCGAGTCCCGCTCTGACTTGAGGGGTGTGTTCACTGAAGCGCACCCTCTTTGTGGCTGCGGGAGGCCTACGCTGGATTTCTGCTGTCATGAAAACGGGCCCAAGACGGGGCTCTGGTGCACCCCCTTTACCCCTAGATGGAATGTTGGTGTGCACGACCCCCAGCCACTTTGAACCAGCAACCTCTGTCCACGGGTCACGATGACCAGGAAGGATAAACCCCCGGGATGGTCCTGACCAGCCCCCGAGGGCGAGAGGACAGAGGGGACAGGGACACTGGAGCTGGATCAAGCGTCCGCCCTGTCCCTTCAGGCACTGAGGTGAATGTTCCCAGCCGCAGTCAGGGGCTGGCAAAGGCCCAGGGTCTCTGTGCTGGTCCAGGCCACGTAGAGGCATCTCCGTTAAAAAACAGCCAAGCACCTCTGGACGCTTGTGAGCATTCAGGCTGCACAAGTAAGACCGCCCACTCAGATGACAGGTTTGGGGAGGAAGAAAGGCATTCATTATGCAAAGACAATGGCCCCGTGAACATCGCAGAACATCCCTTCTCTCTCATCTCCTGTGAGCCAAACAAGGGACTGGCCATTTGCTCAGGGACCCCGGCTGGGCAAACCCTTCCACGTCATCCTTCAACAGACCACGGGAACGTCAGCGACGCTGCGACAAAGCTCCACAGCTGCCTGGTTTCTGATGTTAAAACGGTGGCTGAAGCTGGAGATCATGCTCAGGCTCTACAGCAAATTTGACCAACTACAGCCTACAGCCATTTCCGGCCCCCTGCTTGTTTTTATAAATAAAGTTTTATTGGAACACGGCCAGACTCATTCGTTGACCTGTTGTCTATGGCTGCTTTCAAGCCACAGTGGCAGAACTGAGTAGCTGTGACAGAGGCCTGCAGGGTCTAAACAGTTACCGTCTGGCCCCTATCTGGGTGGAGGTGGGGGGTTGGCTTCCGGTCTACACTGTTCATGAACACAGAGAGCTCGCTGCCCCCTGATCTACACTACTGATGAACACACAATGTTTTACTGCTGAAGAAGCCACCAGCGGTGGCCACCGTACCTCTTTGTTCTTGGATTCTTTCCTAAGGGACTTCTCCAACACTCTAGCTTCATACTCGGCTCTGGGATGGTCCTGTGGGAGAAACCAAGTTGGCCTCGTTAATCGAAAGCCTTACCACGGAGCTTGAGATCCTTACCATGAGCACGCATGCCAAGGCCAAAGTCAGTCCACACATTCACCCTGGGCACCCTCCGGGGCAAGTTCACAGCCGGCTGTTCGTACCACTTGCACGTGCGGCCCGTCCAGGATTTTCCCCCTTGTTGGGAACCCCAGCCCACGGGGAAGGCCCCAGAACCTGGCTCTGTGCCCCGCGGCCCCCTGCTCCCTGCGAACACCCAGGTGTGAACTGGCCCCGAGAACAGCCTATCAGGAGCCGTGGGGTCAGAAGACGAGAGTGTCAGCAAGCGCAGGCAGACGGACGTGCCCGGCTCGGGCCCCAGAGCAGGTCAGCGAAGGGCACTGGAAGGAAGAACGGGGTTAAGAAAGACCGGAAGGTGGGGAGAAGTGGAGACCCCGCCCGCAGTGGAGGGGCAGACAGGCCCTTCTTTCGGGAGACAGGCTAAGGGGAGACAGAGGAGCGACAAAAAGTTCCAAACCTTGACGGCCTCCTGCGGGGAACCGAAACGAGAAACGAAAAAACAAAAACAGAAAGACTCCATTACTTGTGCTGTTTTTTATGAAACAGGCCTCGAAAGACAACCTTCTCTGGAGCCAGGGAGTGGGTGTGGACGTGGGTGTGGACGTGGGCGGGCGAGGCGCTCGGGGTGGGAGACTCCCTGACGGCTGCTTCAGGAGGACCGACTGCTGGCGCTTTTGCAGCTCTAGCGGTTTCGGGGGTTCTCAGGGCAGTGCGGGACTGTCCCGGTCAGCTAAGGGGCACGCGGGCTGACAGGGACACGGGCTCCTTCTGCTCCCACTGCTAACACCTGGGGCTCAGTCTGCGTGGACAGGCTGCCCGTGTGCCTCGGACAACTCAGCCCAAAAGGGTCCCTGGTCAGCTACGGGGACGAAGGGGAGGCTCACCCCGGGAACTTCCTTTAGTCCCCAAGGGCTCCGGTCACCACCCTAAAGTCAAGTGCCCAGGGGGCCGGGTGAAGCGATTATGGGGTCCCTGAGGGGCTGAACGAACAGGACTGGGCCCCTCCCCCCACCTTCCCCAATCACAGGGACATCGGACATTCTAAATCTTCTTCTAAAATAAGACGACTGCTTTCGTTGTACTTGAATCTTCCTAAGTGAAACGAACAAGGGAAGAGCCTGCCCAGGTATCGGGCTGAGCCAGACTCCACCACGAAGGACAGAGCCGGTGGCACGCCCAGCTCAGAGGACAGGGCATCCCTGTTGCTACCAGGTGGACCTGTCCCAGCGCTAGGCCCTCCCTGCCCAAGTGTATTATATCCACTGAGCCACGGGGACCCCTCTGAAGCCCTCTTGAGAACTATTTCACAATCCGTGTTTGAGAAGGGAGGACACAGGCACAGAGAGGTTAGGCAACTTGGCCCAGGTCACACAGCAAGGGCCGTGCTAAGTCAGAATGGCACCCAGGGCAGTGTCGTCACCCTGAGTCCTGTGCCTGGCCCACAGCACAGTGAGCACAGCTTTCCGGGCTCCCTCGGTTTGGCTGCGGAGTGGCCCAGGGACTCGGTGTCAGGAGCAAGCATGTCGTGTGGGGGTACAGCAGGAATGTTAGAAAACGGGGGGGAGGCTTTTCGCATGGCAATGAAAACACACGCGGGCTTTCCCCCTTAAAACATAAGCTCGGGGCTTCATAAAGCCGAGTGGCGGCCAGCGTGGTGGCCAGCGTGGCCACACTGTGGCTCTGCTCTGTGCACCCCGCGGGAATTCTGCCCACTCGGGACGGCAGTGGCCAGGCTTCTCCGAGGAACCCCGGGAGAGGGCTGACCGCCGTCCCAGCGGCCACGGGGTCCTGAGCGGCCTCTCTTGGGAAAGCGAGGGCGCAGGGGTCTGGCTGTCCCTCTGTTAAGCAAGGCTCTGCTCCCACTTCTCAGTCACACCCAATTACTGGCTCCGAGGAGCAGGGCTTTGGCCGCTCTGGGGACTTGGCCTCCTGGGCGGGGGCGACTCCCTCCCAGACCCGCCCGGCTCCCCCCGAGTGGATGAGGTCAGCGTGGCGAGCCTTGGCAAGCAGCCTGACTGCCCTGGTGGGTGGCACGTCCCTGTGAGCGTGGAGAGCGGAAACAGACATCAAACGGTCGCCCTGGCAACCGGGGGTGACTCAGACACCAGGGACGGGAACTGAGAGGCTGGCGGGAGCAGCCTCGGCTGGGCCTCGGGGGGCTGGGCTCCCACGTGAGTCCCCAGGAGGTCAGGGGATGGGGGCGGGGAGGACACAGGGCCACCCCACTCACCTCCTCCTCCTCGAAGCCTGTGAGGTCCCAGCGGTAATTGAGCCGCATCTGCTTCCGCTTCCAGTGCTCCATGAAGGTGGCGGCTGTGGGCAGGGAGGAAGGTGAGAGTCGGGCCAAGGAGCCCCGCGGCGCCGGAGAACCGAGGTGCGTTTTCCGCCTCGGCACCACTTGGTGAGGGAGGGTGACAACGTGCTGGGCCGAGAACTTCACGCGAATCAACCCTTTCAGCCCTCGCCTCCGCCCTGCGGCAGAGACGACCACCTTCCCATTTCACAGATGAGGACACCGAGGCATGTGGAAATCAAGCCCTAGCCAGGTTACTCAGGCAGCCAGGGAGGGGCCGGGCAGGCTGGTCCCAGAGCGCGGGCTCTCGGCCGCCCCGTTCTATCGCTCTGGGGGAGCCCCAGGTCACAGGTGGAGCCCCTGCGGTCAGAAAGCACGAGGGGCGGGCCACTCGCTGGAGCTTCAAGCCCACGCGGGTGGTCTGACTGCCGAGCTGCGCTCCTAGGCGCCACTTCCTGCTTCGTATTCCCAACAGAGCTCACATGCCACCTCCTCCAGGAAGGCCTCTGATCCTCCTACTCAGCATCAGAGAGAAGCCGACTGCACTCGTGGCCTCTCCTGCTCACGTGTCCACGCGGCCCTCCATTACGACCCCTGCCCCACGGCGAGTGGCCCTTCTGGTGTGGGGCAGGGTGGGGCCTTGTTCGCCGGATCCCTGCACACGGCCGGTGCCCGGCGAGGCAGGAGCTCGAGAGCGCTCACCGAATGCGCGAATGGCTTCCACAGGCACATGAGTTGCAACCGGCTGAACCCCAGGAAGGAAACGCAGCAGGGGCCGAGGTCAACGAGGTCAGCAGAGGCTCGGGAAGGTAGACCTCAGGACTCTGGACTTGCCGCGACTCGGGCCTACCCAGAGTGCTGTCGCACACACTACTAATCTTATTCCCAGGAATCACGGGAGGCAGGTCCGTTCTTTCTCCCCTTTTCGGAGGCAGAAACGGAGGCTCGGAGGAATTAAATGGCCCGATCAGGGGGTGTCAGGATGGCGTCAAATCACAGAACGAGGACAGGCCTCCCCGGGTTCACCTGCTGCACACTGAACGCACAGAAAACGGACCTCGTGGCCAGTCTGTCCATCTTCCTCCATGGTTTCTCCGTGTGGGCCTGAGGCCCGAGGTATCAGGATCTCCAGGGAGCTTGTTACAATACAGATTCCGGGGCCCCACGGGCTGTGCTCGGAACCAGCTGCACAGAAGCACCGACCTGCCGTCGCCTGTCCTTCCTGCCACCCGCCCCTACCCGTCGGATGAGATAGCTGTCTCGGCTCCCCCCCCCAGGCGCGTCCATCCCCCGCCCTGCGGCCCTGTCTTGACCCGTCCACACTGTCTTCTGCCTGGGCCTGCCTCCAGTTCCCCTGACTGCATGTCTCCTCTGCTGTGGACACCCTCTGCTGAGCACCCTCCCCTGGACACGGCCGTGGTGACCATGGCGTGACCTTGCAGGTTTCACCACCTGCCCTTGGCTTGGCCTTCTAGTCTCAGAGGCCAGAGGCGAGGCCCTGACCCATCTGGGTGCTTCAGCTGCGCACAGACCGGCCCCAACTCCTTGGTCAGGTCCGAGCTCCCAGGGGCCAGGGTCTTGTCTCCCAAACCTCTGGGCTCGGTGCAGCAGGGCTCAATCAGTCAGACGCCATCAGGGCAGGGGCCACACCCACAAGAGGTCAGGAACAGTGGCTCAGCCAGACGTGTGCTCCTCGAACATCCATCCTCTGGGAGGGGAGGTCCCAGAGAGCTCCCCCTGCCTGTCAGCGCACTGAGTACAGGACTCGGGCACAGAGACCTCAGCTCTTCACTGTCCCACTGAGTCGACAGGCGCCCTCATTCACTCTCCAGACTCCTGTTAGCTCAAGAGGCCGCCACTGGGCTTTGAATTCCAGCAGGAAATCACCGTGTAGCTCTCCCCATGTCCCCACGTGGTTTAGGGTGACTCAGCCTGGTCACCTGTCCACGCCACTCAGACCCTGGGGAAAGGGTTTCTCTTCTTTTTTTTATTCCCCCTATTGATTTTTAGATAGAGTTGGAAGGGAGAGACAGAGAGAGTGACACCGATGTGAGAGAGACACATCGACCCTGGTCTCCTGCACGACCACATCCGGAGCCAGGGATCGAACCTGCAACCCAGGTAGGTGCCCTTGACTGGGAATCGGTCCCCGGGCCGACGCTCTAACCACTGAGCCAAACTAGCCGGGGAAGGGCCTTCCATCGTACCTCTGACATTTCATGAAAGCTGGGCCCATCTTTCTCCGGCTCCGTGCAGCCGGGCCTGAACCAAACAAGTTCCTCTGTTCTGCACAAAACCGGCCCGTGGTTTAAACCCACGACCAGGATCCCACAGCACGCCTACATGGGGTCACAGCTACTGTGTGTGACACCGTATTTAAGGCTCTGAAATGTCATCCATTCCAGGCGGCAGGAGCTGAGGTCCTGGGAGGGACTGTCTGCCCCTGGGGAAGACACCCCCTCCGTGGAGTAGAAGCGAGATCAAAACAGCGGCTGGAGGCCACTCCTCCGGGGACACAGCCCCGTGCCCTCCAGCAGTGACAGGTTTGAGGCCGCTCGGTCACTGCGCGAGCAGAAGTCTCGGGGGGCGGGTGAACAGCTGGGGGACGGAGAAAGAAAGGACATGGGGGGTAGCAAAACACCAGTGGGAAGTGACCCGAGAGCAACGAATAAATATTGAGCACCGGGTTAGAAAACCAGCAACGCGAGATCTCGGCGAATCACACGTGACAGGCCTGTGAAAGGCCGGGGACGGAGGGACCGTCCCCCTCCCGCCACCCTGCGCAGGGGCGGTCACAGGGCTCCTGCACCTCTCAGCCCAGCAGGCTCCTTCCTGTCGCTTCGCTCTTGAGTCCTGACAACCTCCTTTCCCTAAAGGAAGTGCTTCATGGGCGCGGTTGGGCTTTGGAGTGATTCCCCCCGCGGGAATGTTAGACGGAACCTGCACTGGACCGTGTGACACGCCGGTGCACCTGTCTCCCGGGGGGGACACGGAGCTGGAGGGGTGTGGGGCAGACAGAACAGATTTGCCTCTTTCCCTCCTGGGGCGGTGGGGGTGGAACCATCGGTTTTTCTCCCAAGGACGGGCTATTGGTAAGGCCAAGACCTCTGAGGGTATGAAGCAGCACAGTGTTGCACATAGTAGGTGCTCAATAAACAAGCGTGACGTGAGCAAGCCGGCTGCATGGAATGGGCTGCACCGGGTTGAATGAATTTAGCCCCTGTGGTGCTGGCCAAGCAGCATGACGGCCTGGGTGCCTCTCACCACCCGCTCTGGGAGGGCACAGGACAGGGACCGGAGCACCTTGGATGGAGAGGTGTGACCAGGGCACGGATCTGTCATGTCTGTTATGCATCTGTCAGCAGTGTGGTCTTGGGCAAGTCGCTTCACCTCTCTGGGCGTCAGTGTCCTCAGAACACCCACAGAGCCTCCCTCTGCTGTGCCCTGTTGTGGGGTCACCGAGATGAGCTGTGCAGAGCCGCAGCCAGGGCCTGGCGTACAGTCCCCAGCCCTGGCTCTGAAGGGGAGGCAGGGCGGCACGGATGAGGAAGCTAGTCCGGCATGAGCGCGAGGTGGTCCCGCCAGAAACAGCCAGGCAGGGGTAGGGTGAGCGACGCCAGCAGAGGGAGCGAGTGCAGGACCATTCGGGGCTGGGGAGCGGACACGGGGTCCTGTCTTGTTCTCCCTCTTATTAGTGTCGTCAGCTGGGGAAAAGCGGCCCTAGTGGCCCGTCTGAGGGTGATGCAGACATCACTTCTTGCGGCCGCTGGGGAATGAATGGGCCACCACCCGTGAGACCCTTAGCGCGGCGCCTGGCACAGAGCGGCCCTGCTCACTGAAGCCCGTGTTCCTTCCTGCAGATGAAGTGACAGGATTCGCCGAGGGCCCCGCGCGTGAGAGGAGAGGGCAGATTTGGGCTCTCACTTCCTAGGGTCTGGGCTGCTGTCACATTTTCAAAAGGGAAACGCTCTCACGGAACCGACGCAGCAGCCCCAGGCCATCCCGGCCAGCTCCGGGCACCGCCCGGAGAACGTCACAGCGACGCGTTCGAGGTTCCCCACACCCAATGAGCTGGGTACTAGCACTGTGGCCGCTGTGCAAACGGGGACCTGGGGCCCGGAGAGCACAAACAACCCGCCCGAGGTCCCGAAGCTGGCAGGTGACAGCTGGGAACAAAACGTGCGTCTGGCCCAGGAACGGCACCTCCTGGTCCACGACCCACCCAGCGAGTTACCCAGCTGGCCCGGCCACCACGCGGGCGGCCTGTGCGGGCAGAACTCCTGCTGGGGGTGCACCTGGCAGGCGGGCAACCAGGACGCCCCAGCTCAGAGGACGGAGTGGGCAGGGAGCTGACCAGTGCCGAGGCCTTGAGGGGCCCGGCAGGCTGGGGATGAGGAGCAGAGGCTGGTGGGGTGGTTCTCGATGGACGCAGCACCCAGAGCGGTGGTGGGGGGTGGGCAGGAGCATAGTGCCGGGAAATTGGGGCTTGGTTCCCAGACCTGACATTTCAATCCTCACCTTGGCCACTCGAGTTCAGTGACCCCAGGCAACCCAGGGGCCGCGCAGGGGCCTCGGCTTCCTTACCTGTACAAGGGCACACGGAGCCCACAGGGGAGCCGCGAGGATCTAACGAGACGGGCCGGCTCCGGTCAGGGAGGAACGCAGGGCCCGCGCCCTCCCTGTCCGAAAGCAGCTGCCTCCCCGGGCCAGCAGACCCTGGGCCCAGGAAAGAGGTCTTGTTTTTAAGAGCAAAGCACCCTCCTAGGCTTTTCACAAGGGGCTCCCGGCTGGGTCACAGTAGCTTGTCTGCATCTGTGACGCAGCGGAGACGGTGGGAATTGCAGATGAAGCGGGGAGTTCTTTCTGCGACTCCCCTCCGTGTTCATCCCTGGCACCTGCTGCCTGTGGATGGTCCCAAGGAGGAAACAAGGCCCCCCACCGCCCCGTCGCCGCTGCCCCAACAGCCTGGGGGCAGGCACTGGCTTACCCCAGAGGGCCATGAAGATGGAGAAGAAGACTGTGGCCGGGTTGTCGAAGAGGTGGCTGGCCCGGGCTGTGGCGCACGCCGAGCTCATCTTCCAGTAGCTGCAGGTCTTGTCACACAGCGGGCACATGGTAATGTTGTATCTCTGGTCACACATCTCCATGCTGGGAGACAGGGGGCTGCTGAGCGTCCCGGCAGGGGTGTGCGGGGACCCACCAGCCCACGAGGACCAGATGCCAGGCTGGGGATTGGCAAGAGACCCTCGGTCCCCACACGGTGGACACAGGTAAGGCACGCCAGCCAGCTTCCGCTGGTGCCGGGTCCCTCCTCTCCATCCCGGCCAGCATCAGAGATGGGCCACACGGGCCGTCACACAGGGCCCACACTCAGAAGAGCCCCACGCGAGTGTCATGCTTGGCTGTTCCTACCTTAAAATTCGTAGTGATCCTTTTTTTTTTTTTTTGCCCTGGCTGGTTTGGCTCAGCGGTTAGAGCGTCAGCCCGCTGACCCGAGAGTCCCGGGTTCGGTTCCCGCTAAGGGCACGTACCTCGGTTGTAGTTGGTCCCCGGCCCCGGTTGGGGTTGTGCGGGTGGCAGCCACTCGATGTGTCTCTCTCACATCGATGTTTCTTTTCCTCCCTCTCTCCCTCCTGCTCTATCTGAAGGCAAATGCAAAAATGTCCTCGGGTGAGGATAAAAAAAAGTCCTTAGTGATTTCTGAACCTTGGTCCTGCAACGTCTGTAGCCCGCCCTAGACCTGCTGTGTGGCCCGAGAGGGGCACGTGGGTGCTCGGCCCGGAGGGGATCTGCAGGCGGCAGCACCCACAGCCTCGGCGGGAGTCACCTCTAAGAGAAGGCGAGGGCCTCCGGCCTCCCTCGAATCACTGCGTCCTGTCAAGCTTGTGCTGATGGCAGCCGCCACCGGGTCTTTGCATGAGAGGACACGGAAAGGGAATTGGGTGAAGCTATGAGAACGCCACACCTTCCCGAGTCTCAATCTGTCCTTGTGGGGACACTGCGGGGTCGGGGGGCGCACGTCCACAGCTGCCTGGGTGTGGGGGGAGACCCACCCCCGGGCTCGCTCAGGAAACATGGTGCCTGGACAGGGTGCGGGTCCTGTCCAGCACAGGCTTTTGTTCTGCTGAGCAGACGTCTGAGGCTAGAGCTGAGCCGCAGCAGGGGGACGGGGGAGGGGAGCCGCCTGAACCCCGTGGCCTCCCTGCCTGGCCTGACACCCAGGCCCTCTCCTGCTAATACTGAAAAACACCCCTGTTTAAAGGCCCTCAGCTGCGCGAGCAGCAGCCTGCACAGAGCCCCACCTGCCCTGGAAGGGCTTTGGGGACCTACAGCCCCATCGTCACAGGTGAGGAAACAAGCCCAGAGAGGGGAAGCCCCCTGCTCAAGCCGCCCAGCAAAGTGGGAATGGAGCCCCCGGCTCTGCACCCACAAAGCCCGCACCCTGGAGCTCATCTGCTGCCCCGAGGCCACAGGAGGACTCCCCGCTGAGACCAGAGGGCCTGGCGGGCCCGCTGTGCCCCCCGCCAGCTCCCGGAACCTTCTGGAAGATGAGGGAGGAGCCAGAACAAGGCCCCGCAGCTCTGGCCGGCCTGACCTCCACCCCCGTGGCTTGGACAAGGTTCAGAGCCGGCAGTGACCCGGCAGGAAGGCTCGCTCTCCGGGAGAGGCCAGGGTGGTCTGCTTTTTGTTTCTGATTTCTGGCGCATGACTCGATGCGCCCCATCCCGGCAGGCCCGTGGCCGACGGTGCCGGGTGAACGTCCGCTGAAGGGCTCTGTGGGCCGCTCCTCCCTGCACGGTGGGCATGGCCCAGTTCTGTCTTTTCAGCCGCGCACCGAAAGCCTATTCGCACACTGTGCCCGTGACACAGGGGCCCAGCTCGGCGTTGGCACAGGAGAGGGAGAGATGGAGGGTGGCCAGGGCTGCTGGATGGGAGCCCCTGGGGGACTGTGGTGTGTGCGGGGGAGGGGCAGGCACGGATCGGTGTGCCCTCGGGCAGGCTCCTCGAGCTCCTTGGGCCTCAGTTTCCCCACCTGCAGCAGGGATGCTGACAGTGAAGTGTGGCCGGGCTGTCAGGAGGATCAAACAGAGCGCGCGGCGCCCGGAACCGTGGTGGCGTGCCGGCGCCACACCCCGTCTCGGAACGGCAGGCCCTGGGCGGCCGCGGCGGCTGGGAAAGGAGGCCCAGGAGCCACTGTGAGGGGTCCAGCTCTGCCCTCCCCGAGTTCCGGTCTTCTGGGGGCCTCTCCCGGGAGGCCCAGGGCCCGCGTGTCCGCCTGCGGTGAGCCCCTGGCTGCCACGGCCCTCCTCCCTGGCAGCGCTGATGCCAGCCAGCCAGAAAGCCTTTTCTGCCCCCTTTAAACCTCCGCCTCTCCCTTCACCACCTTCCGCCAAAATAAAGACAAGGAATGAGATCGCTTGTTCTTTGGAGGGGGTGGAGGGGCGGATCAGACTCCCTGGGGAACACCTCCCCCCCCCCCGCAAGTTGTGAGCAGTGACCAAGGGCCAATAGGCCCCATGGTCCCCAGCAAGTGGGCCGGCCTAGGGGATCACAGGGCCCTGGCTGGGGAACGCAGGTCTGCGGGGGTACAGCCTCAGCTACTCTGCACCCCCTCTAGGGCAAAGGAAGGTGAAGTCCTTGGCGGCCTCCTGGGGGGCCCACCTTCCACTGCGATGGCCCTCGGCCTTCGGAGTTAAATCCCCACCACATCCAGGCCACTTTGATCTCCACCACAGTCACGCCCTAGCTCAGTGACCTCGCGTCATCTTAGCCAACAAAGGGACACGCTTTCTCCCGCTGGTGCCCAAAATAGCCCCGGAGGGGACATAAGCCAGATTCCTTCAGCGTGAGGTTCTGGGTGGGTGGAATAGTTCGGGTATGAAGACATTATCGACACCGGGTTCACAGCCTCTCCGCGCCGCGGGTCCTCGCGGGCCCGTCTCCTCGCCAGGTGAACGCTCCCTCTACGGAGCGGAACGCCGGGCGCGTTTCCAAGCCACAGCTCGGCGTCCGAGACACGGGGCTGAGTTGTCGGAAATGTAACCGAGCTGAGCTCAGGCCTTTTCCAGAGCCTGGGAGCTCCCAGGAGGCAAGGCCCGCGGGCATCCACCTTGTAAACACGGGTCTGCCCGTGGCCGTGGCCTGTGGTCCTCGCCCTCCACGTTCTCTCTGGGTCGGTGTTGGCAGGTGTGGGGAACAACTAGAAAGGACGGGACACGTCTATGCACTGGGACAGTGTCCTCCCAGCTCCTGTGATTTGACTCACGTTCTGCCTGTCATTCTGGGAGACTCGCCCCTGCCCCCGAACAAGGCTGCTGTCTCGAGTCTCGGCCCTCTTCCCAGAGCCCCCTTGGTGGACGGCAGGAGCGGGGCTCTGCGTTCAGAAGCCTGGGCTGCTGGTCCTGCCAACTTCCCGGGGCCCCAGGGGTCAGAGCCGAGAGCCGGGCAGGCGAGTCCCCTGCCCCGAGGCCTCTGAATGGCATCGGTCTCATTTCCTAACCTCACCAGGAGGCGGTGACTTTTCCCGGCATATAATTACCGAAAACTAAAAGGGGAAAATACTTCAGAGGAAGAAAAGGAGCTTGGTGTATGTTTTCTGTCTGCTTTTGAAAATCAAACGTCTCCTAGGGCGTCCGTGCCCGGAAAGGGTGCCCCGTCTTCGGATGGCACCAGAGCGCCTTGCACTGGGCCCCGCCGGCAGGCCCCGTCGGACCGAGCGGGAGCGGGAGGGCCGCAGGGATGTGGTGGGTTCCAGGACAGGCCCTGCCTACCTGGGGATGTTCTCGTTCACCGTGGCGCATCCGTAGAGGAAAACGATGATCCCCACCACGGAGGCGGGGATGAGCATCTGGGTGTACACGCCCAGCCAGGCGAAGTACAGGCCGATCTTCTCCCCAAAGTACTTCCTGCAGTGGGGGGTACAGCCAAAGGAGACAAGCTTACTTTCACCTGCACCAGGGGACGCGCCCGGTCCCCTCCCCTCCCCCTGCAAGGTACAGTTCAACCTGGGGCCACGGGTCCTCTGGACCAAGAAGTAGAGAGGGGGTGGGGCTCTGAGCTCAGGTTTGGGGTGCTCTCTGCTTCTCCTATGTCCTCCCCCTCTCCAGTGTACCCCGGGACGGTGGTTTGTGACGCGTATGCTGGTGGACGAGGTGGTGGCCCTGGCAGGCTGCCAGCTCCCTTCCAAGTCCGATTCGGCTGAGAGCTGGACCTTACTCTGGCCTGGAGGCACCAAGGAACCCACCGCTCCGCCCAGTAAGCGTCTCTGACACCGCGACGGGTCTAAATGTATGTCCACGGGCTGAGCTCTGGCCTGCAGGTCCCCAGAGGACACACATCGCTTCATCTGGTCCATCCCCCTTCCTGCCCCCGGGACAGGACAAACCATGAGGCCGCTTTCCCTGCCTCTCAACACCCCAGCGATGCAAGAACCCGGCCGGTCGCCCGGCTGAGTCCAGCCAGGCTGCGAATTCAGGAGGAGACGCTGAGCACGATGCCCGAGCCCATCCTCCAGCGAGTTCGAATAAACGGCTCACACGGAGGCTGCCGCGCGGCCGGAGACCTGGGCTCTCCCTCTGCACAAGCCCTTCCCGTTCACACAGGTTCCCAGGGGCTAAGAGTCAGTGCAGTCGGAACACGCGGGGACATTTATCCGACTGAATCCAGCCCGGGACTTCCCTGCCACAGCGGCTGCCCGTGAGCCAGGCTGCGTCTTACCTGACCAGGTCGATGGGCTGGTACTTGTAGAAGACACCGTAGCTGGCCCACTCTTCGTACAGGAGCTGCGAGGGAAACCGCGGGGCGGGGCTGGTGAGCGGTGATGCTCCCAGGTCCCTCCCCAGAGCACAGGGCCCATGTGCTCAGCTCCTGGTTGCATCACTCATCCATTCAGCAAACCCTCCCGGGGCCAGGTACCCCGGCTCTCAGAGGTGAGCTCAGCAGATGCAGCCCTGAGCCCCTGACGTTCTGGTGGGGGAGGTGGGCGCGGGGAACACTGGGTCGCAGCTTTCAGCTCGGCGAGGGTCCCCAAGAACCTGCCCTGGGTGGGAGCTGAGCTGGTGCTGAGGGAGAGCGATGGGGCGGGGAGCCCCCTGGGCAAGAAGGAGCCCACGTTTTCGGGTGAAGGTGGGTCGGGGAAGACGCTGCTGGCACCACCGTGGGATCCGCACACCTTCCCGACTTGATCTGGATCTAAAACGACCTGACACTGTAAGGCTTTTCCATTTAGGGTTCCCGGTCGTCCCTGTCACACACGGAGACATTGTTACAAAGGACAGAATCCACCAGGCTTTGGAGCAAAGAGATACAAGTGGCAAGATTTTTACAAATCATCTCATGGGATGCAAAGAGCTCCGCGTTCATTTCCTGAGGTGAGCTGTCTGATTAACACACTTAGTAAAATAAATTAAGTCTACGTGCCCCCCTCCCCCGCCGGCTTTGGGCAGGGACAGCGAGGAGAGCAACACAGGGGGCCTTGTATGGACACGCACAGGGGGTCCGAGGGAGGACGCCGTGTCGGGGCTGCTGGGGATAAGAACGAGCACCCAGGCACCTGGGTCATCAGGGCTTTTACCAGCCTCGACTCAGAGCCCAAGGCCACCCCCAGGCTGGAGGGGAGCTGGGGCCCGCCTGGGGGCTTCGTGCCTTGGCTACCTGTCTGCTGGGCAGGAGGCAGGCATGGGGGTACCCGTGAGGACTCATCAGGGTCCCCTGGTCTCTTCTGTACGCTGCAGCTTGCCTTGTGTCCTTTGTTATGCTCTTAATATTTAAATTTAATAAAACATATTGGGGGGTCTCCTATCCTCAGATTTGCCTGTGGCCCAATGAAAACATGCCCCATGTCATAGCATCACCCCGAACACTCTATGCTACGGGCTGAATCGTGTCCTCCCCAAATTTCTGTTGGAGCCCTAACCCCCAATGTATTTGGAGATGAGGGCCTTGGGGAATAATTAAGATTAAAGGAGGTCATGAGAGTGGGGTTTTGGTGTCCCCCTAAGAAGGGACACCAGGGCGACCTTTCTCCAGGCACGCACAGGAGGGCAAGCCAGGAGGCGAGCCCTCCCCAGAACCCCGCCCTGCCGGCACCCGGATCCGGGGCTCCCAGCCTCTAGAATTGTGGGAGCAATTGTCCGGGGGCTAAGTCCCATCCATGCGGCTCTGTGACCGCTGCTGAGCTGATACCCTCCCCCCACCGACTCTACATTTCTAGGTACGAATGCATGTTCAAGTAAGAGGCTTGCTGGGCGGGTCCAGCCCCCCCAGACCAGGGGGTCGGGGGTCCCTGGCGATGGCCAGTTTCTGCGTTTCCTTGGGCGCCCCCTGCGGCTCTGAGAGCCGCTTAGGAAAGCACTGTGCCAGCCATGTCCACGCACACCCCGCCAAGCAGGGAGGCAAATGACGCAGGCCGCAAGGCGCAGCGTTCATAAATCCGAAGTGAGCCTTGCTGTCAGAAGCCTGGGTTCTGCCTGCTCTGATCTCGAGAGGGGTTGCTGCCTTCGGGTCTCCCGTCCTGTGAGGGGTACAAACAGGCCGTCTTCGGCAGGGTTCCGAGTTCTGACAGGCGATCGGCCAGGCTGCCGGAGCCCAGCCTTTGCAGCTTCGGGTGGGGACCAGGACACCTCCCCCGCGGCGCTCCTGTGCTGGGATGTTGGCTCTGCTCAGTGTGGAGCCGTCCCGGGCGGACCCTAACCACCGGGTCCTGTGTGGGCAAGCCGGGTCTGACCCTCTCCTCCGAGCCCTGGTGGGCATCCAGGGCTCTGCTCTCTGACACTCGCCGCCTCCTTTACAGTAAAGGGCTCTGTCCTCCCCGAGGGGCACAGAATGAACCTCGAGGGGCTCCTGCGTGTGAAGAAGCCAGGAAAGGGAGGCCGGGCTCCTTGTCTCCCTGCACCCGGTTACGGGGAAAGCGATGAAAAGCCCCGTTTTGCCCTGTAGACAGCAGTGCGGACGAGACCACACGGCATCTCTGGGAAGACAAAAGGGCCCTCACTGCCCGGCCTTCCTCCTCTTGGCTGATTCATACCAGACAGGCCGGGAAGTGCATGGGGGTGGGCAGAGGTCCCGGGAGGGAGAAGGAAGACACGGGGGAGAAGCCACGAGAGCCTCCCGAAGGTGTGGCTGTGACTCGCTGGTTACCGTGTTCCCCAACCTGCTCAGGGGGCCTGGCCCCCAGCAGGGCAGCCACCATCTGCTGGCAGCTCTGACACATGGGGCACACCTGGCTTTCTGCCTAAGCCGCTGTACCTTGGTGGAATTTCCTTCCTGCTAAGGAGAGAGCATCCATCACCCTGTAGCTGCCAGGGTGCAGAGATCGGGCTCAAGATTCCCCTGTTGCTGTTGGCAGGCTCCGAGGTGCACCCCAGCCTCATGAGCAGGGTGGGAGGTGCCGGGGCCGGAGGTGGGGAGCTGCTGGTGCCAGTCACAGTGACCTGGAGCCTCCCGGCACCCAGACCTTGGAGGGAGCTCAGCTCAACCTGCTAACATTCCTCCTGCCCAGACCTCCTGCCTGGGCCCACACACCGGGCAGGGACCAGCTCTTAACGACCATGTGTGTACGTGCCCCTTGCCACACCCCCCATATAGAGGCCCCAGGAAGACCAGGTTTGTCTGGTCTGTGTCATCCCCACACCTTGGCATAACAGGTTTCCAGTAAGTAACTAACTGCTGGATGGTTGAATGAATGAATGAATGACCAAGGGAGGGAGGGAGGGAGGATGGGTCAGGGCCCTGTGGCTCTCAGTCCCGCCCAGGATCCATATCTGAAGAAGGTGACGGGGCTCGGGGGCGCCAGGCCCTCACAACTATGGCTGCACCTGCCTCGTGCGTGTGCCCCTACTCCTCCAGCTCAGCCCAGGAAAATGGCCTTGGCCGGCCTGTGTCCCCTTTCGGTCCCATCCCTGGGGTGACTCCTGCCACTGACACAGTGCCACAGATTTCGTCACTGGAAAGGCAGAACACTCAGAACCAGGTCCCTTAGAGTAGAGTCATCATGGGAGAATGAGAAGTTCTCTAGGGTTTTGCAATAGGGCACAGATACCTGTCTGGGCATCTTCCGTCCCTCCCTGTTTTCCTTTATTCCATCCACCTATCCATCCAAACTTCTATCCATTCGTCCATCCATTATCCATCCACCCACCCATCCATCTATCCGTCCATCATCCATCCATCCGTCCCTCCATCCATCCACCTATCCATCCGTCCATTCATCTGTCTGTCCGTCCATCCATCCATCCATCCATCCATCTATCCATCCATCCACCTATCCATCCATCCATCCATCTTTCCATCCATCCATCCATCCATCCACCCATCCATCCATCCACCCACCCGTCCATCCGTCCATCCATCATCCATCCATCCATCCGTCCCTCCATCCATCCACCTATCCATCTGTCCATTCATCTGTCCGTCCGTCCATCTATCCATCCATCCGTCCATCCGTCCATCCACCCACCTATCCATCCGTCCATTCATCTGTCCATCCATCCATCCATCCATCCATCCATCCATCCATCCGTCCACCCGTCCGTCCATCCATCCATCCATCCATCCATCCATTTGTCCATCCACCCATCCATTTGTCCGTCCGTCCATCCGTCCATCCGTCTGTCCGTCCATCCACCCACCCACCCATGTCATACTCCATGACTGTCCATGGGCCAGGCCTTGTGTCATTGCTGGGACACAGAATTAGAAGGGGATGGGAGGAGGGTGGGCAGCCTCTCAGGCAGACAGAATAGGTGGGCCTGGCTGACTGGAGCTGTGTGCTGGGCTTGGCATGCAACAGTGTTCAGTCAATAGATCCTGAAAAAGTAACCGAATGAGACAGTCTTGGCACTGATGTGACCACTGTCCCAGGAGTCTTCGGATTAGCAAGGTGGCCATTGTGGCTGCGGCATGGGGTGGGGGGGGACCAGGGTGGAAGGGCCTATGACCTGGAGGATGGAACTGGGCCAGAAGGGGCTGCTGGTGCCAAAGGGGTGCAGGGGGTGGGGGCTGGCCTCAGAGCTGAGGTTGGCCAGGCCGGCCTGCGGAGGGATGGGGGAGCTCTGCGAGTCATGGGGTCTCAGACGAATGCCAGATGTTCTACTAAAAATAACCAAATATGTCATTTTGAGCTAACTCAGATAGCATCTTCAGCGGGATTCCTGGACGGGCAAGTTGTATCAAGCACCAGAGGTTTAGAAACACATGTGGGGGGCTGGAGGGGATGGGACGGAGGACATTCCGGGCCCAGAGGTTCCCGGCGCCTGTGATCTGGGACAAGGCCACCATTGTGAGGTTCTCAGGGAACATCTCCACCCACCACCTTGGAAGGACCCGCTCTTGGGGGTGAGGGGCAGGACTGCGGGGCTGAGAGGGACAAGGGCCCAGGGAGGCTGCTCCCGAGGGGAGGGAGGTCTGAGCTTGTCTGAGAACTGACGGGGCGACCTGAATCGAGGAGCAAGGCTGCTCTCTGTGCCGGAGCGTGGAGGGGGGAGCAGACGGCTGTGGTGGGACCATGTGCGTGCTGGGAGGTGGGGGCAGGGCAGAGCTTCTGGAGAGCCTGGGCGGCTGGGAGCAGGAACACCCACTGAGGAGTCAAAGTCACCTGGTGTTTCCCAAAGTGCGTCCCACGAACACCAGCTCAACAACTTGTCCATTAGGAGGGGTTCCAGGGCAAGTAAGTTTGAGAAACACTGGGTCGACCACCACCCAGCAAGTTCCCCCAGGGTGCTGCTGGGCCGTGGCTCTCGGCAGCTGGCCGCAGCGGTTCCCAAACTCATTTGCCCGGGAGCAGGGCAGGGTTAGGCCGCATTCTCAGCAGAGATGGCGGGGCCGATCATCCCGGGTAACACACAGGTTTACCGGGCCAGGTGCGGGCCACCTCGGAGGAGCATAGACTTCACACGTTCGCAATAACCTGCCACCTGCGTTTCGGAGAATCAGACGGAGCAAGACGAGCCGAGCGCACGGAGTTCACCGCCGTTCTCCCCCACGTGGGCGCAGAAGCCCTGTCACTGCAGATGCCCATGGTGCGGCCGCCCTGACCCTCCCGACCCCGCCGGAGCCCCTCGCCCCCTCTGCGTCCACTTACTTTTCTGTCGTTGAACTCCACGTTCTCACCTTCGTAGTCTCCCTGTTGGAAAGGGGAAAGGGTTAGTTTCATTATCCAAGGGAGCTCGGGAGTAGCTCCCGTTCCCGACATTCCCAAACAAACCCCACAAACATTCACTCACACAGTGAAGGTCGTCCTAGGAGCAGGAGGTGGGCCAGACCTCCCTCCCTCACACAAAGTGCTCTGGGTGTCCCCCGTGCCCTCCACCCACCCAGAGGCCAAGTCCAAGAAAGGACCACGGTCAGGTCCTTGGAAGTGGCTTCTGGGGCTGGAGAGAGGTATCAATAGGGTGAACACATGTTCCTCTCTGCAGGACGGTCCCAGTGTGCTGTCCCCAGTGCCCCGTCCAGGTGGTGTGCCTGCCCCTCTCCAGCGTCCCAGGAGGGACGATCAACGATGTGGTCACTGCACACAGAGATCGGTGGGCCGAAACCTCCCATTTCAGAGGTGGAAACATTAAGGCTCATCGACCCTCCTGAGGACAGGAGGCTGAATTCCATCAGACCTGGGACTTGGATCCCATCTCCAAGTCCAATGGAAGAGCAGAATCTAAAAGTCAAAAGTCGAGTCCCATGTACTGGAGATGTCTCCTGTGCCTGAGCAGGAGCCACGAGAGGGGGGTTCAGTCAGGGCCCGGCGGGCCTGGCCCTGAGGAATTCGGGGCAGAAAAAGCTCCGAGGCCTCTTGGGTGTCTGCTCACTGCCCGCTCCACCCACCAGCTCCTTCCACGACCCCAGCAGCCCCCAGCCCCCTCCAGGCGGGGAGGACCTGACCACCCGGCCAGCAGCCCAGGCCCTGGTCTTCGAACAGAGGTGCTCCGAGAGCTACAGAACCACTTTCACCCAGAGTCTCCGGGGACCCCACCCTTCCTGTCGTTCTCGTGGCTGAGACAGCCAGGGGGTACCACAGCATCTCGTCTATCCGGAGGTCAGGGAGCTGGCGACCCCAAGGCGGGTGGAGGCCAACCAGGAAGGAAGCCCCCAAGCTGCCGAGCGGCCCGCTGAAATGTCCACGCCCGTTCTCCGTGGCTGGCGCGCCGCGCAGCCGCCCGCGGGCTCGCTCAGGGTGCACGCCCTCTCGGCAGGCGGTCTCCGGCTGGCACCGGCTCCCCACGCCTCGCCGACAGGTGTTCTCGGTGAGGGGGCGATGGGCGGACGTGGTCAGCCAGGCACTGGGGGGCGGGGGGCTGGGGGCCGAGCACGGAGGGCAGCAAGCAGGGGGACGGCTCAGTGGTGAGTGAGGCGGAGGACTCAGAGCTGGGCAGCGGTTACAACCGGCGCCACAGGGGTTTTTAACTCGTGCCGTGCCCGAGTGTTCAGTCGGGGCACCGGCCCCTCGTCCCTCAGACTGTCAGATTAAAAGATGGCAACGGCCAACACAATAGCCATCCTGTGTGAATGCATCGACACGAGGCCTGTTTCCTGTGGGCCACAGGCTTCAGGAAGGACTGTGTGGCCCTGAGGGTGAGGCGGCCGCCCCGAGAGCCTGTGCTGACTGGAGGCGGGTGCGTCTGAGCACGGGGTGCCCTGGGCCCGCTCAGAGCCATGTCTGGGCACCCGCCTGGGGACTGCAGGCGGCGGCTGTCCGGCAGCTGCATGGAAAGTCACGGATGTAAAATTCCGTGTTCCCGTAAGACGCCTCGAGTCCATAATCTGGCTGGAAAGAACCCTGAAGTGGAGTCAAAGGAGCTGGGCTCCGAGCTCCGCTCCTTCTTGGCTGCCGGTCTCAGCAACGCTAGCCTCAGTTTCCCCATCTGTAAAGTGGGAACAATTTGCTTAAACTGCAGACAGACTCGACTGCTGGACAAATGTGGCAGTGACGACGGAGAAGAGGGGGACTTGTGGTCTCCAAGGAAGGACAGGGCGGTGGTCATGCTAGGGGACGGTGGTGTAGCCCAGGGTCAGAGGGTGGCTTCTGGCCCTAGAGTCCCCCAGGGTCTGTGTGATCCCTGGCAAGTTACTAACCCTCTCTGAGTCTCCTTTTCTACACTGAATGAAACAAGGTAGAGCTCCTACTAAATATAGTTCTTTGCTCACAGTAGGTGCTCAGGAAAGGTGATTTCTCCCCTTTCAAAACAGGCAGGGGCTGAAACCTTTCAGCTTTGGGCAGGGTCGTCGGTGGGAAGGCCACGCAGGTGGTGGGCCGGGGTGGACAGGACGCATTCCGGGTGCCAGGGACTGAACACTGAGCGAGCCCGAGCTGCACAGCCGACCACCGGCTGCTGGTGCACAGTGGGTGGGCGAGCGAGGCCCCAGGGCCCCTGGCTGCATGGGAGGAGCCAGGAATGATGGCCGGGACCTGCGGGGCTCTGAGCCCCGCTCTCCAAACGTTCATTCAGCAACAGTGGATGAACTGCCTCCCCCAGGCCACCTGACTCGATCAGCCTACATCGACACCACGCTTACTGAGCACCCACCAGGGGCCAGCGCGCGGCTCTCCTGAGATACAGGCGCAGTGAGTGGTGGCGTCCTGGTGGGACAGGGAGCATCGGAAGCCCGAGGAGGGAGGGAGAGGTCACCGGTGCTGGGGAGGGCGGGGCAAAGAAGGCTTGGACCATGGGAGGGTTCGCCTGCCCTGGGAGGGCGGGGCGTTGTCCACAAAGAGGAGGCAAGAAGGGCATCCAAGGCAGAAGGAACAGCTTGCACGAAGGCACAAAGGCGGGAAAGCCAGGCGACATCAAGTCCCTACAGTGAGTGACCAGGGGACGGGCAGGTCAGTGAGGTCAGTGTTCCGGGGAAGGCCCTCCGCTGTGTCCAGTCCACTGCGGCTGAAACCCGTTTCGTTTCTGCCTCCCTGACCCCCACGGTGGCCCTGGCAATGGGACAGGGCGGGCATCACAACACGCAGGTGGGGACACAGGCTCAGAGAGGGGCAGGGGCTCTTCCCACGGAAGACAGCAGAGGCGTGTGGTCAGGACTAGAGCCTGGGTCCCTGGCCCCCCAGGCCCACCTTCCTCTCCTGCTCCTTGGCTCCCAGACTTCGCAGTGACGCACATTTGGAAAGTTCGAGATCCTCTGTCCGGGATTCCCACACTGCTCAGGGCCCATGGCCCATCCCCAGGGCCCCGCTGAACTCCAGCCCCCGTTCCCATAGAGACAATGCGAAGGAATCATCTCGCTCTCTCCGCCCTGAGCCAAGACCACGCCGGTCGTGGCCACGGGCTATATTTGTCCGGGGGATCCCAGTGGGATTTGGAGATTCAGCTCAGGAAGCTGGCCACGTGCTCTGCAGAGAGAGACCCCTGCAGAGGCCTGGTCACTCCGCCAGAGCCTGGCAGGGCAGGCGGGGTGGGCATGCCGAGCTGGGGAAGGCATTTCTCGGACCAGCTGGCCGCGAGGAACGCCGGGGCAGACCGCCTGCCACCAAGGTTTGTGGTGGCTCTACAAGAAGTGACAGGCTGTGGCTCCTCCGTCCCCACTCGGGGAACAGAGAAGGCCTGTCCGACGCTGACATTTAAGGGAGAGCCAGAGCAGGAAGCTGAGACCGCAGGATAATTGGAGCTCCCCGGGGTGTGTGACCCGCGGGGGTTTGGGGGGGCAAATGACGCAGAGGTAAACGGTGTGTGTCAAGGTCACTTACATCGTGCAGGGGGTAGGCCGCGGAGTAAACGCCGTTGGCCAGCAGACTGGTGATGCCTTAAAAAGAAAGGCAGAGGATTATGAACCAAGCACGTCCCGGCCGCTCCGTGCTCCATCGGAGCCGTCCCAGGACCGTCTCAATCACTGAGAGTTTTCTCAAAGCAAGCCGCGCCTGGCTGCAGAGCCTGGCCACCTTCCTGGGGCGTCCTCCCCGGGTTCGACTAGACGACAAGAACATGCTCTACTGGCAGAATTAGGAGGATACAGAGGAAACCCCCAAGAGGAGGAAGTTACGTCTGGGAGGAAGGAAGAACCCCCAAACCGGCACTTCACCAACTACCCCGCCTGCCCGAGGGCAAGCCTGCAGATCAGAGGGATGGATTTCAAGTGGTTAGAAAAGCTGAATCATGAGAAAAACATGGATGGGAAAATTGATGGTGTCAGAAACACACATACAATTTGGAATTAGATTTTAGGTTGATTGGAAAAGCCAAAGAGGGGGCCTGCGGGCCCCGCGCGGGGGCTGAGCCACTTACCGTATTTACCACATTTTCGCCTTTTACTTAAAAGGGCAGATTCCTTCTTTCTTCCCTCTCTTTGCCCTGTTCATACATCCGGCTATTAGTCACATGCAAAAGGGCCTGGAAGGGTCAAAGCTGCATTTGGGGGAGCAGGCGCCCTGTGGTCCGGCGCTCCTGGGGCCGTGGGATGAGAGCCAGGCCTTTATTTGCAGACCCCAGGCCCCGGACTAAGGGCGTTCTAACAACAGGCACATCTGTACCTGGCATCGAGAGGTGTGGGTTCAGGCCCCCAGTCCTGGAACACAGCACTGTAAGAGGGGCAGGCAGAGCCCGGCCATGCATGGGGCCGGCGGGGGGCCCAGGGGGGTCCTGGGACTCTGGTCTTATTCCACACACACCTTGGGGATCCAGCATTGTTGCGGGGTTTCCGTGAAGCCCCTTGCTGGTCACAGAACCACCTGCCTGGCCCAAGAGGCTTTCTAGGGCATCAGGGGTCAGATTTTGTGAGTGGCCGGGTCGGCCCACCCTGCTGTGAGACTGGTGGGAAGGGGGCTTCCTGGAGCCCACTTAGAAGCGGACCGTGTCCTCGATGAGTGATGTGGAATGGTCAGGGCACCCGAGAGGGGCCAAGAAACCCCGGCCGAGCGCCGAGGGGGCCTGTGGCTGACATCACACAGAAGCCATTTGTCTGCAGGAAGAGATGGACGTGGGGTCTGGTTTGGGCCGCCGGCTCCTGCCTGTTCCGAGGATGCTCTCAACCCAGAGCTGCCTGTGCACGGCTGCTCCCCTCTCTGCAAGACCCCCTCCCAGGCCTGGGCCTCCCACCTCTGCTTCTCACCCCCAGCCCTCCCCGCCCCCGCAAAGGCAAGGCTAGGACCTGGTGTAGCCAACTGTTTACTGTCTATTCCCGCCCCCAGAATGCAGGCCCCTGGGGCAAGAAGCACCTGGGCCAGGCCTGTGGGTAACGCCCATTGCTTGCTGCATGAGAGATCTGGAGGCCGGGAAGCTTTCAGACAAGGCGCCGATGCAAAATGGGGTGCAGAGAAGGCCCCCCGATGGATCGGCTCTGATACCAGGCGCTGGGAACCAGCCCCGCCAGAGAAACGGCGGGAACGACCAGAGCCCCCCCCCCCCCCCCCCAGGGAGCAGCAGCACCTCGTGGCCCCAGACCCTGGCCGCTCTCACCGCAGCCACAACAGCTTCCCCGGGAAGGGCCTGCAGGGCCCTGAGCTCCGAGTCCCAGTACGGGGGCTAGAACCACGCTTCACCCCGCCGGTGCCTGCCCATTGGGAGGCTCCTGCTCTGTCACAGGTAGGTCAGGCCGATGGGGATCGTTTTCTTGGGCTCCCCTTGACCCCTAGATGAGGCCCCACTCCTTTTGTCTTAGGACGTGGGCTTAAAGATTTCGGAGCTAGAAGGGTGTCCCTGTGACCGGCTGTGGGTCATACTGGCAGAGAAGACGCAGCCTGCCGTCTGACCCTGGAGACTTCATCCTCTCTGCCCTGCGTCCTGGCCTGTCCCGGGCCATCACCTGCCGAGCACCCATCCCCTTCTCCGGCTCTCCCGTTCCCTCCCAGGGCTCCCTTCCCTTCTCAGGAAGCAGGCGCCGACCCCGGCTCCTACAGAGCCTCAGCCTGGCGACCTCAGACGCTTGTCCAGCGTGATCGCCTGCGCCGCCGTGGGCACAACTCTCGGCCTGACGCCGCGCAGGAAGGGGACTCGGCTAGGCCAGGCATTCCTTTGCCCTGAAATGTTCCCGGTGAGTAAACACAGCCCCCGCCATGGGCAAGGGACCCGTGGCGGGGCGGTTCCGGTCCACATGCTTTGATGGGTGAGGCTCTGTACACGGGCCCCGAGGAGCCCGGCTGGGGTGCTGCTGTGGCAGGTGGAGGGGCGCGCCTTCCGGCAAGGCCTGGGGGGGCTAACCCTCACTGCTTCCTGCTGGGCTGTGAGGGTCCAGAGAGGCTTAAGACACCTGGTCCCCTGCAGTGCCCAGCAGCCAGGGTTTACGGTGCAGACGCCTCGAGGCAGTGACGTAAAACTGCCCCACGGTGCCGGTCCCCGAACGGCTCTCCGTTCTGCGACTGTCACACGGGCCTCAAATCAAAACCCACGACGAGCGCCCAGGCTGGCGGCCGCCCCCTCCGCGATGGTTCCGAGGCGAGGTTACCGCTGAGAAAGCAGCACTGATGTCAAACCCCAAGAATGTCCTTACCCATGCTGTACTTGGCTCGGGTACACGTCGTTCTCTTCAGGATTTCGTAGACCTAGTGGGGGACAGGGGGGTGCCGTCACTCGGCGGCGGCGGCACGCAGGCCCTGCCCCGCGCTCACTGAGCGGGACGTGTCACCATGCCCCGCTTCTCCAGGGACCGCGGTGGGCTGTGCTGAGGATGCTCGGTCAGCAGTCGGGGTGGATGTTGTCGGGGGTAAGTGCGTCTCAAAGGGTCCCATCCTTTCCTTCCCTGCGTGAGCACCACCCTGGGTGGCGCTGGGTCAGGGTCAGGAGCTGTCCCGAGCGCCCTGTGTGAGGAGTTACTGTCCCTCTGGCTGAGAGGTGAATAAGGATTCAGAGACGCAAGGACCCAGACAATAGGGCCACTCCAGGGGCAGCCAGGAATGTTCCAGAAACCCGGGGTGGGCAGGTCTCAGGGTTCCATTCCACACTGTCAGGAGGCAGCAGAGCCCGGGGTGCCCAGCAGACGCCCCAGTGAAGGGTCCCACTGCACCCCAGCTCTGTGCCCCATTTACTAAGGAAACATTTCACCTCAGGAGCCCCGACTGGGGAGTCTGCCTGCCTGGGTCTGAGTCAGGCTCCCCACTCGTAGCTGTGTGATCCTAGGCAAACCACCTCACTACCCTGTGCCTCAGTTTCCCCGTCTGCAAAACGGGAGGAAAATCACTGACCCTACGCCATAGATGTGTGGGGCAGGGCACACCAATCTCCCTCGAATCCCTCCGTGATCCCCTCACCAGGGCACGGCCAGCAGCCTTCCGCGGCCCCCAGGCCGGGCCATCTGACCTTCTCTTCCCGTCCGTCTGTCCCCGTAACCCCGGCCTCCTGGCTGCTCCTCTCGCTCACCCAACCCTCTGCCACAGCCTCAGGGCTCCCCCCTTGGCTGTTCCTTCTGCCAGAAGCACTTGCCCCGAGATCTAAGTTAGAGGGACCTGAACAACAGGCCACAGAGCACCCGCCCCTCCCGTCGCTCTGCCTTCTAACCCTGCTTCTGTCCTGGAGTGCGCTCGGCCACCGCCCCATTCCTCCCGCCCACCAGTCCTGGGCACACGTCAGGGGCTGGATAACTGCCCGCTGAACGAACGAGTGGAAAGGATGGCCCACGCCGTTGGCGCCCTCTCCCCCAACTCTAATCGGTGGCCTCTTCCTGACCGTGCTGGTTCCCCCGTGACCGCCTCCTCCCATCCACCTGCGGTCACAGCCCCTGTTCACAACCACCGCCCGGGCTGCGACCGCTTTCCATCTGCCCTCCCACAGCCGGCCCCGGCAAGATCTCTGTGAGACAGATCTGACCTCATCTTAAACCTCGCTCCACAACCTTCTATGGCTCCCTAGTGCCCAAAGGCTGAAGGTCTAAGTCCCAAGACCAGCACTTTGGCTCCTTCCCTGCTGTTCCCAACTCCTACCCGCCTATAATGACCTCACCCCAACGCCGGATACTGTTGGGGCTGATCGACCACGGAGGCTGACTAACCAAGGGCAATGTTTTGAATCACTCAAGGGTTTCTCTGGAGCCCAGGCAGTTTACAAACTGGCCTTCAGGGTCTCTCGGGGAGAGTGACCCCCCTATCCCACAGGTAATACTTACTGCCCTGTCAGAATCGCTTTCTGTGACTTTGGGGTCATGGACTAAACTCAGTTTTATAGCAGATCCCCAATGAGACAGGAACTTGAGCTTTCGATTCATGTGTCCCCTCTCCCCACCTTGGCCACCTGCCCTGTGCTCCCGGGAGCATTTTGGCGGCACCAGATAATGTAAAAAGTTGGGGTGCATGTACATATTGAAACACTCCTTTCTCATCATGGTGCAGGAAAGGAATACCATTTGGGTTGACACCGGATGGTTCTCTCGGGCGGTGGGCGTCCCAGAGAGGAGTTACTCTGGACACCGTCAGCCCGAGCTACCCCGGGGGGCTGGTGTTTCTGCATAAAGGGGTCCCTCCTGGTTTATAAGGGTGGGGTTTAACTACTAAATTAATCAGCAACATGGGTAATGATAAAAGTCACAGCAGTAGCTCCGCTGCGGACACTGTGTCCAGGGGACCCCGGGAGGAGGCTCCCGGCAGCCCTCTGAACAGGAAGTCAGGGTGGCCCTTGTTCTCCTACAGGCTCAGTGACTCCTGAAGTCACGCGGCTGGGAGGAAACAGAGAGTGGACAGGACCCGGATCTGCCTGTCCAGGCAGTGGCCGGAGCCCCACGCCAATGTGACCGGTGGCACTGTCTCTCACCTGGCCACCTTCCGGTCTCAGGATGCGCCACATTATCTGCTCAAGGTCAAGCCTGCATCTCCCCGGCCAGGCCGGACTTTCTGGGGGGAGGGGAGAGCAGCAGGTGGCTTGGCTGTGAGTTAATTTCTTGTTTAGATAAAAGTTGGGTCCTGAGCCACGCACAGCCCAGCTTGGCTGGCGGACAAGTTGGCGGCCGATGGGTAAACATTCAAGCAATACCTTGAAGAGGGCAGGGTGGCCTGGTCAGATTTCAAACCTTGGTTTGCTCATCTGGCAAAGCCTCAGACGTCTACCCCAACTCGCCCGGCTCTGCGGTCACCCCCTCACTCCTGGAACACGCAGACCGCACGGGGCTCAGGCAAGGGGCTGGGAAACCACCTGAGGGGCTGCAATCCTGTCCCTCCCCCCGCGGGCTGGGCCATCCCCGGGGCCCCTGGAAGGCCTCTCGTTCACTATTCTAATTATTTCTGTCACAGACAATTAGAGCATCTCCCACCCGGAGGCGTTTCTCTGAAATGAAATGATCGTCCCTTCCCCGGGGTCACCTTGCCGAGAGTTAGCGAGTCCCCATTCCCGCGCGTGCGATACTTACTATTGTGCTCCGAGTCTTGCTGTCGAAAAAGGAATCCTTGTCAGACAGGTCGAATCTGTCGAGATGTCGGGAAGAAAGAGAGACACTGTTCACTGGAGTCCGCGCTCCGGGCGCCGAGAACCGCCCTGTCCCCGAGAGCATCAACTACGGGAAGACTACCCACAGCGCGGGGGTGACCAGACGAGGGCACTTGGAGCAACTGTGTCCCTGCCCCATACCCCTCCCCCGAACTCCCCAAGAGGCTGGGAGACCCTCAGGGTGTAAGTGGTCCCAGCGGCAAGTGTGCTCGGGCCTCCCCACGGCTGACCCTGATGTCCTTCCGTCCTTAGTGGGCCGCCTGGGTCTGTGCCTCAACACCGCCGGGCGGGGGGGGGGGGGGGGGGTCATTCTACCACCACACTTTCAGTGTTTAAGATAAGCTCCCTGTGACTCCCAAACGGTTTTGGTCCTGAGGTCTCGGGCCACCTCGAGGCTGCCCAGTGCTTCTGGGGGCCCAGGGATGTCTGCGGGCTGGGTGGCCCACTTCCTGAGGCAGGAGCTGGGGTGAGCCGGGGCAGAGCGAGGGAGGCCCGGGACCGGGAAGGAGGGGTCCCCTCGGATGCCCCGGGAGAAGCTGGGCGGGGGCCACTTTCTTCTCCCGCATTTATGTTTCTTATCGTGGGGAGCCTCTCGGATGAGGCGCGTGACCTCTGCTCTGTGACTGATACGTTCGCCGGGCAGAGCCCCAGCTCTGAGCTGAGGCACAGATCTGCACCCCTGTGAGAGCAGGCGTGTCCAGGAGCCCCCATAGCTTGCCGTCGGAGTCCCACTGTGTTCCCAGAGCTCAAGCGTTCCCTTCCCACCACCGCCCACGCTCGGGCTCAGCCCCGCAAGGGCCCACAGAGGCCTTGCGGCCGCTCCTGACCCAGGTGGTGACGCCCCACTGCCCCGCGGGAGCAGGGGAGGCCGGAGTCTCCAGAACGGGTACCACTGCCAGGCAACCCCCGCTGCCAGGTCCCCGGGGCCTCGGGACTCCAGCTGGGGCTGCATGTCAGCTGCGGCCTCCCCAGCTCGGCAGCCTTCAGGGGTCGCTGGCCAGCCCCTCTCCTTGGACGTGTCCCACGCGGGACGGGGACGGCCCCGGGCAGGAGGGCGGGCTGTGTTCCAAGGCCCAAGCCTGCCCTCACTGGGCCCTCACTAGTGTCCCTAAGTGTCACCAGGCAGAGAGACAAGATTCTCTACCCCTAATTCCTCCGTTAACAGTGACCTTAGAAAGCACTGTCTATGCCCCGGAACTGTGAGCCCAGGAGAACCGGCTCCGGGGGCGGGCGTTCCTGCTGCTTTGGGGGATGAGCTCCCTCTGCCTCAGCGCACTTTGTCCCACAACCTGCATTTTCGAGTCACGGACGACGACAGGGGAGGTCACCACACGCCAGGGCCCACTCACAGGTGCTGTTTCTCCCTGGAGAAGGGGTAGGAGAGTCTCTTCGTGGTCTGGGGTCTGTGCTCCGCCACCTTGGGCTGGATGGGGTCTGTGATCTTCTGGAACACGGAGTTGATCTTTTTCAGGAGGCCCCGGGTCTCGTTAATGTGATACAGCTGCAGGCGAGACAGGACCGGGAGCTGCGTCACCCGCTGAGCCGTGACCCGTGGGTTCTATTCTCAGCTGATCCCAGAACCGCCCCCCCCCCCCAGATGGCACGTCCTGGGAACGCACGCGGGGGTCTGCCAGGGTGCCCTTCTCCCCGCCCGGGTCCCAGATAGACCCTAGCTCTCGTAGCTTCGGGCGAGGCCAAGAGAGCAGCCAGAACACATTCCAGAAAGCTTCCCCTGAACTTGTGTTTTGTTTCAAAGGAGGTCATCCGAAGGGTCCCAGTGAATGCGAGAGGCCTGGATGACACGCTCCGGGCACACCTCCCCCTGCTGTCCTCAGCCAGGAAACCCGACGCCCAGCTAAGCTTCGGACGGCGGCTGACCACACTGTGGTCAGAGATTAAGAAGAAATATCCCAGCCAGCTAGGAAATGCAACTCCGACGAGCTTGATCCGCTCGCCGGGCACAGTGAGTGTGGACACCTGAGCAGGACGTGTACTGGTGTGCAGCCCAGCACGGCCCGGCTCCCTGCCTCGGCTGCCTCCTGGCTTTGGCTGGGTCTCTGCAGAGGCAGGGAGCCCCCAGGCTTTGGGGCGAGCCTCCTGCCGGCATCTGCCTGGGTCACTGCGGCCCTCGCCCGGCTCAGGGACCTGCCTCAGAGCAGACGTGTCCCCCCAACCTTCTTTTTTGTTGTTTTATCCTCACCCGAGGATATTTTTTTCATTTATCTTTAGATAGGGTGGGAGGGAGGAAGCGAGAGAGACAGAGAGAAACATCGATGTGATAGAGCCACACTGACTGGTTGCCTCCTGCACAACCCCGACCAGGGCCAGGGATGAACCGCAACCCAGGTACGTGCCCGTGACCGGAATCGAACCCGCGACTCGTCGGTCCACGGGCCGACACTCCAACTGCGGAGCCAAACCGGCCAGGGCTCCCCACCAACCTTCTTGGTCGGCATCTTCAGTTTCAAAAACTCCGCCTCTCTGCACAGCACATTCCAGGGTGCGTGGATCTTCACGAACCCAACTCCGTGGATTTTCGTCTGGAAGACAGGTGTTCCCAGTGAGCGTGGGCAGACGGGTGGGGAGCCCCCTCACCTCGGGGCCCGACTACAGTCTGTCAGGGGCTGCCGGACAGGGTGGCTTTCTCCGTCACCTCGCTGGCCCCTCTCAGCGGGGCTCTGAGCCCCCTCCTCGCAGGTGGCATCAGGGAGCTCGGGCAGGTAAGTCACACGGCATGGAGGAGGACCACGAGGGCCTGGAGGGAAGCTGGGACATTTTCAGGGGGTGAGCCGAGGACCCCAGAGCAGTCCTGCAGCCTTGACCCGGGGCTCAGTGCCCCCGTCCCTGAGCAGGGATGAGGAGGTGACGGACACCCTTCTCTGGGCCCCTTCCCACTGCTGAGTCAGGCCACACCTCTGCCCGCACCCAGCCTGTCCCCGGGTCCCCTGTGTCTGCACTTCCTGCAGCCTCGCGCCCGAGTTCCAGGCTGGCTCGCCCACTGCCCTGCTGGGAGCTTGGACACACCCCTCTCTCGGGCGCAGTGTCTCAGCTACGGGCACGGACAGGGGCACGGACAGGGGCACGGAGCGCAGCCCGCAGGGGTGAGCGTCCGGATGAGGACTGACTCCATCCACCTTGACAACCAGCTCGGGGAGAAAGGCACCATGACGACCCCCTTCACAGACAGCAGCACTGCGGCGTGCGGGGACTGAGTCACGGCCGGGGCTCTTCGAGGAGTGAAAACTAGAACCCCCGGCTGACGCAGCAGCCCCGCGGCGGGGAATCCGGCCAGAGGAAGTGACATCTGGATCTTGAGGGCCCAGCCACACTCCACGTCCACTACAGTGTCACTCACAGCCGCCAAGACGTGGGAACAGCCTACGTGTCCGCCGACAGACGGGTCGGTAAAGACGGCCCGGCCTATGCACACACCAGGGAATGTGATTCAGCCACCGGGACACTGAAATCCTAGCATTGGCGACAGTGCGGTGAACCCAGAGGATACTGTGCTCAGTGAGATAAACCAGACAAAGACAGATGCTGTGTGATCTCACTCAGACGTGGAATCTTTTTTAAAAAGCCAACCTCACAGACACAGAGAGCGGAACGGTGGTCACCAGGAGCTGGGGGTGGGCGTGGGGGGCTGGAGAAAGGGGGATCAAAGGGTATGAACTTCCAGTGAGAAGCTTAAGTTGCGAGGCTCTGGTACAGCCTGAAAGTCCTTGAAAGTGGATCTTGTCTGTTCTCACCACATACCCACCCCCACCCCCACCCCCACCCCCACACACAGTCACGGTGGGAGGCGACGGATGTGCTACTTCTCTTGATCTTGGAAAGTATCCCGTGGCGTATGTACACATCCAACCATCACGCTGTCCACTTTGAATACACACAGTTCTATTTCTAAATTGTTCCCCAATAAAGCTAGGAGGCCAGGGCCCAGCAGGTGTGGCAGCTCGTGAGGCCGAGTCCGCGCTCAGCCACAGGTGAGCCCTGGCAATCGGTTCCCCTTTCCTTCCACTCCCCCGCGAGCCCCGTGGGCAGGAGAGGCCCCTCGCCACGCGAACAGTGTCGACACGTTTCCGCATCGAAGGCACGAGCGACTTACACAGACCTTCCTGCCGCTCGAGGTTACTGGGGTGTCTCGGGCACAGATGTCATTACAACACAAAGCAAAGACACCCGAGGCTTCCCTGGGCCAGAGCGGGGTCAGTGAAGTCCCCTGGACTCTCAAGGGAGCCCCAGGAGCTTGGAGCCCGGGCTGGCTCAGGGCTGCGGTCCCTCTGCTGCTCCTTCCCATAAGGCAAGGCTGGAGGGAGCCGAGTGGGGCTGTGGCCAAAGGGGGCCGGCGATGCAAGGAGGTGCGGCCGGCACAGGCCACTCTGCAGACCCAGCTGCAAGGCGGAATCGGGCCCCCGCTTGCTTCTGGGCCCCCCGTCACCTCACCAGCCCGAGAGTGTGGGCTCAGCACATGGGTTCATTGCGGGTTTTTGGCAAAAAGCAAAGGCCCAAAGCCACTCGGGGATGGCTTCTAAGAAAGATATGTTCAGAGGGCCAAATAGTCACCCAGCGTGAGCCTGAACCGAAGCCCACGGAAATGACATTGACAGGAACCTGGGGAGCCCAGGTGGCCGGGCAGCCCCGCCTGGGGCCCTGCCTGACACTGAGCTCCAGGGGCTTTGTCCCATCTCCAGAGAAGGGCCAGTTCACACTGGCTGGGCGAATCCCGGCTCCTCTCTCCTCTGCCCAAGCTGACACTGAGCTCTGGCCCCAGCCCTTCGGCCCAGGACAGGGAACTGGCCTCTCCCAGGGCCCAGCTCGGGACTGCACAGGCCTCCTCTGTGCAGCCCCAGCCCACGGGCCAGTCCGGCTTGGGGTGCTGCCTCGGATGGGTGCATGGAAGCCGGCGATGCTGCTGTAGCTACTGCTGGGGGGCGGGGGGTGCTGAGACCCACCGAGCCTGCGAGGCTGGTCCTTCCACTGCCTTCATTTTGGAGCTGAGGAAACTGAGGCCCAGGGGTGCACGGTATGCAGCTCATTACATGAGTGTCCTGGGGCCACACACCGGGCGGCTGAAACCGGACTGATTCCCTCTCTGCCGGTCTGGAGCCAGAAGTCTGAGATCAAGGTGTCCCAGGGCCACGCTCCCTCTGGAGGCTCCAAGGGAGGGTCCTGCCTGCCTTGTCCAGCTTCTGGGGCTCCAGACGCCCCTGGGCTGTGGACACATCACCCCAAACTCTGCCTCCTCCCCTCTGTGTATCTCTGTTTCAAATCTCTCTCCTTTCTCTTCCAAGGACACCCGTCATTGGATTTGGAGCCCACCCTAAAGCCAGAATCACCCTGTCCAAAGATCCTTAACATTTGCCTTTGCAAAGACCCTGCTTCCAAATAAAGCCACGTCTGCGGGTTCCAGGGGACACAGCCACCTCGTCACAAAGCCGCAGCCAGAACTCCACAGGGCTGTGTGCTGGGCCGTCTAGCTCAGCTGTCAGGGGAGTTTCAAAGAAGCCATTGGCCGGAAGCTGGTGCTGGAGACCACTTCCAGGACACAGCCAGGACCCGGGTGCTCAGGCACAGGCACCCACAGGGCCAGGGCTCAGAGGTGTGCTCACCTCGGGGCGCCTGGAGCCCTGGCACCGTGGCCCTGGGCTGGGCACTCAAGTCAGGTGGACAGTGGGCGAGGCCTTGGGGTGAGGCAGCTTGGGTAGGAGCCCTGCCCTGGCCCTGTGTGGCCTCCAGCAAGTAACTCCACCTCTCTGAGCCCCCGAATCCTCATGTGCAAAGCTGGACTTGCTTCAGTGGAGGGTCGCCCGGGTGCCCCTGCGCCGGAAGCCTCTGCCCGGCCACTGGGCAGCTGGGACCACGCCCGTCATGAGGAGGGACTCCCCCAGCCAGGGAGCGGGAAGCAGCGTGCGCAGCCCCGGAAGCCCTGGAGCCCCGCGCAGGGAGAGGCGACCCCGGACAGCCCACGTGCGGCAGAGCCCATCGTGTCCCGCCGGGGACCAGGTTTATTTCTGTGCACTGCTCATCCCAAAATACCTCCTCTGAGTCCATGGAGAGTTCTCTCGCTGGCGGTCAAGGGGCCGGGGCCGCGGCCGGCCGGCCTCCCTGGGAAAACACGCTCCCTGGTTACGGGAGCAACGGGGTCTCTCCCAGGGAAACATCTGGCGGGTTGGGGGAAGGGGTCATGGGACCAACCCGGCACAGACACACGGGACGTTTAAAACACGGTGCCCGGTTGGACTGCAGTCTGCCCCAGCGGGAGGACACTGAGACAGTGGGTCCCCTTTTCCACCGGCCAGAGGCCCAGAGCAGGGGCGGTGGCGCGGGGGCTCTCGAGGGGCAGGCTCGGGGCTCCGGCAGGGCCCCAACCAGGCAGGGTGGGAGGGCGGGCGAGGATGCTGCCCTTGGGGCGGAGTTCTCCCAGCACAAACGAAGCGAGTTGAAGCCTCCATTCCAAGCCCACCTCACAAACGCTGATCTCACCAGAACTGTTTCTGGAACTTTCCTTCCAAAGGAAGAAAGAGGGAAATCGCAAACATAATAAACAAAACATCTCCGCGGCCCATCTGTGGTGGTCGGGGACACCCAGGGGTTCCCCTGCATCCCTGGGCCTTCTGAGTCACAGGCACGGGTCTGCGTGGAGGGGTCGCCTACTGCCAGGCACTTCCCATGTCGCGGTCACTGCTGACCACGCGACACTGCCTGGCGGAGCAGCTGCCCACCACCTGGGCACCGTCCCACTGGGCACGGGTGTGACCACACCTCCTACATTGTCACGGTGCCTTCTAGACCTGTCTCACGCGGAATGGGGACCCGACGACCACCGTCTCTGGGGGAGGCCGGGACTCGGGCAGGGCTCAGCGGGGGCACCTTACCCTCAGTCCTCCGCACGGGGTCTGGCCCCCGAGGCCTGGCGGGTTCAAGGACTATATGATACGTCAATCAGCAAAAAACACTCCCTCACCACCCTGCTCTGTGATGGGTGGGTGGTTCCTCAGTCCCAGACCCACCGAGGGGGACCCCACGGAGCTGGGCCCCATGAAATGACACTTTCAGGTGACCTAGGGAATTGCAAGGACAGTGGTCCTGGTGTGAGCAGACCAAAAGAGAAGGCAGAAGAAGGATGACAACCACCCGGTAAGTCCTGGTCCCCAAAGGCCAGGGCTCCAGTGGATCTGGGGACCTCAACCAGCGACCTTGGCTCAAGGTGGTTCTGTCTATAAGGCCCTCGGATGTGTGACGGCCACAATCCCCAAGTCTCTCTGGACAAGGCACCTTCCTCCCAGGCCTTGGGGAGCCTCCGTGGCTCAGTGAGGATGGCGACCAGTGGACAGGACAGCCAGGCCCACCGGGGCGGGACAGAAACCAAGGGAGCCCAGACACGAGCCCTCTGCCTGGATCTGAAAGGGTTTGGCAGATGTTAGCTCAGAACCGTTCTGCCCAGGGCAGGACACGGCTAAAACAGGACACAGCCGATGTGGACACGAACCGGCAGGACTTCCAGAGACGAAGTGTCCCAACGAGAATGAGACGCTGA